CCGTTAACATTGTCACACACCACCGTTAACATTATCACAACAACACCGTTAACATTGTCACACCACACCGATAGCATTGTCACAGCACCATTAACATTGTCACAACAACACCATTAACATTGTCACACCACACCGTTAACATTGTCACACCACACTGATAGCATTGTCACAGCACCATTAACATTGTCACAACAACACCATTAACATTGTCACACCACACCGTTAACATTGTCACACCACACCGATAGCATTGTCACAACAACACCATTAACATTGTCACACCACACCGTTAACATTGTCACACCACACCGATAGCATTGTCACAACAACACCATTAACATTGTCACACCACAGCGTTAACATTGTCACACCACACCGATAGCATTGTCACAACCACACTATTAACATTGTCACAACAACACCATTAACATTGTCACACCACACCGTTAACATTGTCACACCACACCGATAGCATTGTCACACAACACCGTTAACATTGTCACACAACACCGTTAAAATTGTCACACAACACCATTAACATTGTCACACTCACAACATCGTTAACATTGTCACACTCACAACACCTTTAACATTGTCACAACAACACCGTTAACATTGTCACACTCACAACATCAATAACATTGTCACAACACAGACAAGTTTGTAACTCGTAGAAAATCTGACGACACATGGCACATTAGTTAGAGAAAAGCTGAATCTTCTGTGTGCAGAAATGTAGGCTACCTTCTCTATACATATGAGTGATTTTTACATTGTATGTTATGTAATACACACCAATTTATCAGAAAAAGTGTTTATTTAATATATAGGCCCTATATATATATATATATATATATATATATATATATGTATATATATATATATATATATATATATATATATACTGGAATATTTCGTCCTTGTTATTCTTATGGAGCTTACATCACCACACTCTAAGTAAAATATTCACGAAAATAAACCAGAATGAAATAGTCGCTTAATGTGATACAGTATGTTCTAATCATAGACATGTGCAGATATGTATGGGTTGCTAAATGATTTTCTACAGGCAAAAAGTTATCCTTTTGGTTAGCATGGATTCGCCTTGTATCCACAAAGCTTCTGGTCATAAAATACATTATTTTTTAACACTGCCTCAGACATGTATTTTACAGCGTCAATTCGTCTTTCCACGGTCGCTTTAGTATTACAGTTTTCATCATCGGCTTGTGAGGACTGATACAGATTTACAATTGTAATACTTCTTTCTTAAATGTAGCCTCTTTTCATTCAAGGTCTTGTCATTGCATTTTTTTTCCAAATATAGATAAAGTCTTTATTGTATTTAGTTAAACAATAAATTTATAAGCACTACTCCTTTCTTTTTAGAGTAAACCTGAAAGGATAATTAATTAAATAAAATAGAATTTTCAATTACTTGCACTTGGATCCGGGCTCTTCTTGCACTTTGAGAAAGTCTTCATAAGATATCATCTGTTCTTCGCCATTCAGTGGCTGTGTGTGATGTTTGTCCACTAAAAACCAAAGTTTCTGAAGTTCATCATTGTTTAGTAGTTCCCTACTCCTTCTTTGAAGAAATAAAGCTCTAGACTCTTCTCTTGGTTTCATAAGCAATGGTTCATCTTCAGATGGAAGTTTTGAATATAGACTAGGTATATTTTTGTGGTCGCTGTTTGTTTGTATACATTTGTAAACATTTCCAATTCTTCTTTTGTAGTCTTAGTTTGAATTTTATTTTGTTTATTTTTTTTAGAAAATCCCGTAATATTTTTTTTTTTTTTTTGTTTTGTTTGTAGTAGTTCTTTTAATAAAATCTTCCAATTGTTACATTTGTAATCTTTTAAAGATGTATTTGTATGTTCATAAATAAAATCCTATGTATAGCAAAAGTACAAAATAAAACTGTGTTCACTGATGTAAGTGCACAAGATCCAAGCATGCATGCATATTTACAATTTACAAAGTTATGTGTAGTGTAGAGCATTGGAAGAAAGATGAGTTTTTTTTTTTTTTTTTTTTTTTTTTTTTTTTTTTAACAATGTCAACAGTTATCTTGATTTTCACCAGCTATTCAGCATTGACTTGATCAAAGATATTGGCTCTTTATATGGCAAACTACTACAAATTGAGTATTTAATCCAACTAATGGTTTTCTATTCATAATAAAGTAATTTTATTGTTCTAAAATTATATACAGTAGGCAAATCGTGCTACTGAAATTATAATACTCAAGTTAACTATAATAATAAACACAAGTTATCATTTTTTTTAAATTTATCAAAACTATATTTTCGGTATTTTAACATTTTGGAAACATAGGCCAGTCGTCTCCCTTTGTTAATTTCTTTTTTTTTATAAATTAGAAGTAGTAAACTCACTTTTAGAAAACAAGGTCTGGCGTCTAAGAATCAGAGTTTCTTCCAGGCATCTCTTAGGGGGGGGGGCAAAGCCCCCCCCCCCCCCGAAATTTTTTTATCGCCCCCCCCCCCCCGAACGAAATGAAATTTATATAATTTACGCTAATCTATATATATTTCTGAAAGATGTTTCGCTCCTCAAGATCTGGTACAAATCCCCATAAAATTGACTCAAAGATAGAACACGTTTTCTGTTTTGATCTAAATGAAATTTAAATATTTGAAACTTTCTATATATAAAGGGAGATAATCGCCGGAAATAATTTATTTTTAAGGTATAGAAAGGTGATAGCCCTTTTGAAACGAATATTAAACCCACTTCAGTGACAATAATATTGAAATGTGTAAAATAAAAATAAATTATAACGATATCATAGAAACTAAATTTACTTTGCCACTACACACCTGAATAAACTGTTTTGTAATTATTTATAACATAACTTTAAAGGCTACTGTTGTATCATAGTTGTATGCTTCCATAAAAATTGTTGTATGCTTCAACAACAGGCAGTGTCAGGTGTAACCTAAGTATCACTCACAAATAGCATCTGATGTATGCTATGACCACAACAAGTTAGTGATGTATTTTCAAAACATACAAAATTACTCATGTGCGCATCAAACGTTGGTGAATCTATCTTCCAATGAGGATTGAGTTTTATTGAGTTTTGTTACTATTAATGTCATTGTAAACAAGTTTTAAGTCACGTGGTTACAGATTACGTTCAAGAATGAGTTACCTAAACAATGTTGTACATGCGGGGACCACGAGAAGACGTCTTTATTGAGCTACTGTACGGAAGGTTGCAGATACTGACGTCTTTATTGAGCTACTGTACGGAAGGTTGCAGATACTGACGTCTTTATTGAGCTACTGTACGGAAGGTTGCAGATACTGACGTCTTTATTGAGCTACTGTACGGAAGGTTGCAGATACTGACGTCTTTATTGAGCTACTGTACGAAAGGTTGCAGATACTGACGTCTTTATTGAACTACTGTACGGAAGGTTGCAGATACTGACGTCTTTATTGAACTACTGTACGGAAGGTTGCAGATACTGACGTCTTTATTGAACTACTGTACGGAAGGTTGCAGATACTGACGTCTTTATTGAACTACTGTACGAAAGGTTGCAGATACTGACGTCTTTATTGAACTACTGTACGGAAGGTTGCAGATACTGACGTCTTTATTGAACTACTGTACGGAAGGTTGCAGATACTGACGTCTTTATTGAACTACTGTACGGAAGGTTGCAGATACTGACGTCTTTATTGAACTACTGTACGGAAGGTTGCAGATACTGACGTCTTTATTGAACTACTGTACGGAAGGTTGCAGATAATGACTACAAATGGGTGCCTATTCTTTTTTTTAATGAGCTTCAATATCCTCGCGTTCCCCTACCCATGCACGCCCCCCCCCCCCCCCCCGCTTACGTCTATCACATGTTGCAACTAGGAGTCTGGTTTATTAGACATTTAATTAGTACGAATCTCTCTCTTTTCCTCCTCCTCCGTTGTTGTTGTTGAGAGAGATCTCTCTCTTTTCCTCCTCCTCCGTTGTTGTTGTTGAGAGAGCTTATTGATTTTGTGAGAATCTGTGTAGGCCTAACCAATAATACGATATATGATATAGAGTATATCAAATCAACATATGTAAAAGCAGGCATCACAGGCGGAGTTTCTTCCCCGAACGAAATAGAAGTTATACAGAAAATATATGCTTAAAACAGAGTCCGCCCCCACCCTCCACCAGAGAAAAAAGTCTGGAAGAAACACTGGCCAAAGTAACGTAACAGATCAGTCGGTGGCCAGCCGTTTTGGACATTGAAAAAAGATTTTATTTTCAACAAGGTCGCTAGTTTAAAATGTTGGTAAAGAGGACAGCAGTGTTTTCTCCGGGGGGGGGGAGGACTTGAAATTTTCGGGGGTGGGGGCTGTCTACATTTTCCAGGGGGGGGGGGGGGCGGACACTAGTAAAATTATATGTTTACTATATAAATTCGATCTCGTCCGGGGGGGGGGGGGTAGACTTTCTTCGGGGAGGGGGGGGGGCTCTGCGCCCCCGAAGAGATGCCTGGAAGAATCTCTGGAGGACAGTATTAATTTTTATTTATCATCAATAATCCATAGTTTGATTATTTGAATGACACGAATACAGTATTTCGAGTGGCACACTTTTTTCTTCATAAAAAATGAAGATAAACTAAAGTATCGAGTCTCGTCAAGATACTCGATTTAATTACTTTAAAAACTCTGAAACCTACGGAACCTCGTAGGCCTGTGGGCTTTGTACACCACGCCACTGGTAGGCTTATTAAATATTAAAGAAAACACCGGATTTTTCGGTTAAATCGCTGTTCAAGGAAATAAATAAAAGAAACCATACCGCGGATAATTGTGTAAATAGACTTTTTCCTTAGAGCATTTTAAAACAAATATTGATTTTGAATTAAAGATTTATTGAATAAAAATTCTATTTCAAGCTTGTAAATATTAAGCTTCTAAGCGGTGAATGATATGGTATTAAACTATTACAGACATTTATTAACATTTTATATCTGATGCTATTTACACGTTGATGAAAACAACCCAAAGTAAAAATGGCGACCACTAAACAAAATACTGGAATGTCGGCCCCAATGTTTTCGCAGAAACAACATGGATCTGGATCAAGTGGAATTGTTGACGACTTCATGTATGGATCTAATGTGGCGTCGGCTCATATTTATATTCGAATGGGTAAGAAAATGTTCTTTTTAGAATAGGTTATTATAAAAAGATCTACAATCTAGGATTCTAGTGGTGGCCAATGCAATACCGTTTCAACGCCACTGCCACTACTGACACAGCTGAGTGATGGCAGTGGACCATCAGCGATCACAGATGGCCCATCAGCATCACATCATGATGAAAAAGAAAACGGACAGGTGGATGATTATAGATACCAGTGTCCGATAATGGAATCTTCTTTTAAAAAGGGGTGTTGGGTTGTTAGTTTGTTAGTAGGCCTACTGAGTAGTATTGTAATCTCGACTAATTTTAATTAAATTTTATGGTTAGAAATTAATTAGGGTTAGTTAGATAGTTAGGCGTATCCAGGGTTGGGGTTAGGGTTAGGGACAGGGTTAGCATTGACATTAGCCAGCCAAGAGTCTATTTAGTTAACTACCAGTAACCTAACACCCTTTTTTTTAAAGAAGATTCCATTATCGGACACGGGTGTAAACATTCTCCCCAGGTTTTTTTTAAGGGTTTTAAATTCTAGCCACATTCTTCTGCCACTTTAGTTTAGAATTTTACCTTCTCCCCAGACAGGTTTGACGCGAAGTGTCTCTAAAGTCTAAATTGAGTCTAAAAAAAAAATCTAAATCATACTAGCTCTAATACTAAATGTCCTAAATGAAAGGTGCGGGTTCAAAACCATCAGTTGCCATATCTTTTGACACTTAATTTTTATAGGTACCCCTATCATCAAAACTTTATTTTTTTCATGTTATTCATGAAAGGGTTACTTTTGTAACTTTTTATTGTTTGTTTGTTTGTGACGTAGGCCTAATTGCTGGAATAATTATAAAAAAAAGGAACTGCCCCTTACATTTTTTTGCTAAGAGAAAAAACTACTTGATAAAAGTCTAAAAGTGTGATGGAAACTGAATTATAGCTGATTCAAAAGGACATCCTGTTTTACCTGATATTTGTTCTATGTGAATTTTAAATGGTAATTGACAGTTGAATAACGATGTGAACTACTAACAAACTGATACATAAATAATATTATTTATTTAAAAATTACTAGATATGTTAGACTTGTATAGGTTTAATTAAGAGTACATAATGATAATTGATCATCTACGACCTACGTAGCAGATATGAGCCTAAAGGCTAAACTAAACCTAAACTATAGTATTTTTTTAATAACAATATAACACAAAAAATAGCACTGCTCTCTTAATCTAAACCTCACTCCCCAGTCACAATAAATGCTTTTATTATTGTAAGATATTATTCCCTGTTGTATTTAGCATGAAATGACAGCCGACTGGGAATAGCCGTATTGGGGCTATTCATAGTCGGCTGGGAATAGCCCCAATACGGCTATTCCCAACCGGCTGGGAATAGCCTTCAGCAGACTAAAAAGAAACTAGCTAACTAGCTAAAAACTATTTTAAAAGTTTTGCAATTGTAATTGTCTAGAGCATGGATTCATTTCAAAATTAAAATGATTTTATTTTCCAACCATTTTTTAAAAGCCCTTCCTTAAGGTAAAGAAAGTTTTTACCTATTTTTTAATCCTCAAAACTCAGTGACCAGTTTTTGTAAGCAATTTCTAATCCTTCCATATAATTACCATTTTAACATTTGCTATTTTCCATGTTTTTTAACCAGGGTTCATGCGCAAGGTTTTTGGAATTCTCACCGCACAGCTCTTTGTGACAACACTCATGTCAGCAGTTTTTATGTTGAGTGAACCAGTGCAAGAGTATGTACAGACCAAGTGAGTGGTGACTTTGTTGTTGAAACAACTTTTGTTGCAATAAAAATGTCAATACTGATGTTTCTCCTTATACCAGGGTTCATGCGACCTCCTGAAATTCCAGGAGGTCTTGGAAAACTCATAAAATTTTAAAAAAATTGTAAAAACCTCCTGGAGTTCTCATGAAATTTTTAAAAATTGTAAAAACTCCTGGAATTTTCATAAAATTGTAAAAATCTCCTGGAATTCTCATGAAATTTTAAAAAATCTCTTGAAATTTCGAATTTTCCACTGATGTTTTCATTTAAATATTTTTGCAAAAAATTGTTAAAAAGTAGATCTATTATAAAATATTGCCGTTCTTTGAAGGACAAATACATCAGCTGAGCCCGGTTCGTGTTTGATACAGCTTGTTTTAGGAAAAAATAAAAATGACCTCACGGACAATCTTAAATAGCAGTGTTATTACTGCTGTGACGTGCGCTCTAGGCCTACTATATTCTGACCTCAAATTAGCTCACTGCGACCTTTGTACCATTTCTTGGGGGTGGGGGGTAGATACCATTGACACATTGTAAAAGCAGTGTACAGACTCTACTACTACCATTAGGCTAAAAGCATAAATAAAGATGTGGTTTGGTTATTATCAAGGTGGTAATTTTTGGCTCCAATGTTTTTTCAAGTAGTTCCTAAACACTGCTTAAAATAATTAGTAGACCCCTTATAATTTAAGCTTATCTGGTCTAGGTCTTAACATTTTCCATCACATGTACTAATACTTTCTTAATTTTAAAATCACCTGGAATTTATTTAAAATTTCTGGAAATCTCATGGAAAACTCATGGAATTTATTTTTAGTTTTGGAGCATGAACCCTGTTAAAATAAAATGAATAGTTGACACTGGTAACCATAAACATGTAAAATTATATATATTATATATATATAAACATTCAAATTATATAAGCATGGTTATCTTTCTTTCAGCCATTGGATGCTTACTGTCAGTATTTTTGGAACATTTGGCGTTCTGCTGGCCCTGATGTGGAAAAGGCAAGAGACTCCCACAAACTACATTCTGCTGGGAATATTTGTAAGTGCACCCAGCTTGTTCAACTGTTTTATTACAGCCACACAGAGACAACTCCAAAATCAAACAACTGCTGCCTTGTAGTTTGTTCTTGGTTGGACAAAGGCTATGGAAGCAAATCCAAAAAGAAAAGCAGGCTGAAATCGGAGTCAATGGCCTCAATTGTGTTGGAGGCGTGGTCGAGTCGGCAAAAAGCTCATGGTTGATAAATTCGAACAAAGTCTCGAGTTCAAACCCACTGGCAGATAAATCTCGATTCCCTTCAACACTAATAATTAAGAACGAAGAAGAAGAAGAACTGTTTTATAGAAAGAGAAAGCTGAATTAATATAAATTTCTAGTAGTTTATCAACTTGTATTAACACTACTCAGTTCTCTGAATCTGTGTTTAATCATCATAAAATTCATAAAAATAGTTCACTTGTGAAAGCACAAGTAATAATATGACTATAAGACTGTTTTTGTATGTGTAGTTTTTTTGTTAGTTCTAAATAATATAGCCACCAGCAGTGTCATATTTACTGCTCTATGATAATGAAATGTTTTGGTAGAAAAAGTAATTGAACTACTTTAAAAAGTCTAAAAGTTTTTGTTTATGGCCCCTTGTCAACCCTTGCAACTATTTGACATTTTCTTTCTAGACTTTGATGGAGTCCTACGCCATTGGTGTTGTAGGTGAGATGCTTGCTTTTTGTTCTTTTAAGTCTGTTTATAATATATTGTATTATAATCTATAAGTTCCCAGCTATCTATAATTAAATCATTTATGATTATATAGTTCAAAATATTCATGGTATACTTTATAATATTTTTAAAATTTCAAATTGTTGGCATTAATGTCATACATGTCATTTACTTGTTTCTCTCTTCCAGTGACATTCTACAAAGTGCCTTCCGTCATTGAAGCCTTCCTGCTGACCATTGGGCTGACCATAGGCTTGACCTTGTACACTCTACAGAGCAAGAAGGACTTCACATCCTGGCATGCACCGTCAGTATTTGAATCATCTCTTTAAGTCTACTGTTTTACTGCCCCGTCAGTATTTAAATCATCTCTTTAAGTCTACTGTTTTACTGCACCGTCAGTATTTGAATCATCTCTTTAAGTCTACTGTTTTACTGCCCCGTCAGTATTTGACTCATCTCTTTAAGTCTACTGTTTTACTGCCCTGTTAGTATTTGAATCATCTCTTTAAGTCTACTGTTTTACTGCCCCGTCAGTATTTGAATCATCTCTTTAACTCTACTGTTTTACTGAAACTGTTCTTTTCAATGTACAGCTTTACTGTAGCAGGTTTTTTTTAAACTCCAATTGGAGAATACACAATTAAGTCATTTTCTGGTATAAGGCATTGGGAAATGTAATAACTGCACTGAATTAATACAGCCTATCTGGTATCTTGACAAGAAAAAATGAATCAAAATTGACATTTGAAATGAAAACACAAGTTTATGGAATTTAAGCTTCATATCTTCAGTTTTATTAGAAACTCATCAACCAAGCCATTAATCAAAACATCCTTTATTTGATCCAATACAGAGAATTACTTTAACTACACAGTTTAAAATAAATAATAAATCATTATAAGTAATACAAGTCCTCTTTACAAATGCTGCAAATTTATTTCTAAAGTAGCTGGTAGAGTGAGGGAATATTTAATATGTATATATGGCATACAGTAATAAGATCAAATGTTTCTTCACAGTGCTGTCATGTGCTTGTATGTTCTACTGTTGGCTTCCTTGATTCAGGTAGGTTTTTCTGTTTATCAATGAGAAAAGTACTCTCTTTTCTTACCTGTTAAGTCTAGTGCTCTCTCCCTGATTGTTAAGTAGTTCAGCTTAAATACCTGATCTCATAAATAAGATTTGACCATTTTATTTAGTGTGAACAATTATGCAAGTAATATCTTTGGGATAATATTTCTGATAAAATAATGTTGGAGTTTGTGACTCAAGCGATTACTCTGTGCCAACTTGTGAATGTTTGACCTAATGTTCCAGATGATTCTACCAATTCCAGCCGTCCACATGGGGATAAGTGTGGCCGGAGCTGTGCTGTTTTGTGTTTTTATTGTGGTGGACACACACATGCTGATGACCAAGCTCTCACCTGAGGAATACATCCTGGCCGCCATCAGTCTCTACCTGGATATTCTCAATCTCTTCCTCTACATTCTGCGCCTGCTTGGAGAGAGAAAATAATTCTCCGTCATTACAAGCCGTAACATCATCAGTGGCTGGAGTAACTTGTTCTTATTTCAGTTTTTATTTGTGTGATGGTATTTAGAGAAATGGGCTCTGTTGGGATAACCTTTTCTTTTGTTTGTTTAAATCTACTGAAACTGCTAGAATAAAGAAAATGAAAAAATCAAATTCCAATTACCTAACCTTCTAAGCAACAGTTAACAAAAATTGAAGGTGATAGTTTAAAAAAATGTCATCATTCCAACAGTTTGAAAGCTACACTGCACTAGTAATAAAATTTCAATCATCTAACCTATACGGCAAGCAGTTTTAAAAAATTTCACTGTGATAATTAAAACAGTTATGATTGTGATAGCCTTCTTGACTATTTCTATTATTTTACTATGTTGGTTCAATTATATTTAGAATTGATTTGTTCTTTTTAATCCAACATATTACTGTTTAATGTTTATTATCCTTTAAGTTCTATTTGCAGTCCAAAATATTCTTTAATCCGTTCAATACCTTATATTAGCCAGGTAATCAGGTGTTTGGGTAGGTTTTTATTCTTTTGTATAACATTTTCATCACATCAAAAACAAATGCACTCGGTTGGGATAAATAAGTATTAAAGCTCATGACTTTAAAACTTTAAATATAAGTTAATACATTTCTTTAATTGGCAGTATGATTTGTGCCAATGTTGCCTGGTTAGCCAATCTGCTGGATTGTTGGTTTCCTCCAGACATTACCTCCTCCATCTTCCAACATGTGTTTGCTTCATGCACTTTTTAAACATTTATTTATTTGGTTTGTTGACACACAACATCATTAAAATATGTTGCACACAAGTTGGCTTCTGATACAGACTAAAGCAACACAAACTATTATTTATTATGTAATGCTAAGGGGTTTTTTTATATAAAAAAATATATCTTTTGTTAAAGTGAAGAAAGTAGAATTTTAATAATATTGTATTGAGACGTATGTTTGATTTGGTGAATGCAGTGGCAGTAGTACTATAAGGTCAAAATAAACATTTCAATTTCATTTTTTAAAATTTGATACAAAAAATATTAGTTCTTTCTCAGGAAGAAAAAAATTGCAACTGTTTATTAAGTATAATATTACTGTGTGCATATACACCAATTATAATGTTTCAGAACTACTTGTGTACATTGCTTGTTTTTGCTTGTTTTAAAAGCCATCACATTTCATTCTGATGTGATGACGTGGGCAAACTCTTTTTAAAAAAAAAATAAAAAATTGCTCTTTTTATCTAGCTAGTAAAGCATTAATATGATACAGTTTTCAAGATTTATTTCTATATTATACATATAAATATAAATGTCTTGTTTAATGCACTGTGCATAATTTTGGTGAATTAAAAGTATTAGTTAAATCATTAGCCGAGTTTATTAAAATTTATTTAATAAAGGAAACTATAGTTGACAAAAAAAAAGCTGTGAATTGTACCTTTACAACGGTTTGAATAAGAAGTAACATCTGCAAATTATGTCAATTTTTAAGAGAGGGTCATTGTACTGACCAACTTCCTTTTCACAGCCAAGTGGGATTCCATCTGCGTACTGGTTTTACCTGGCATTTTCATTTCTCAGTGAAGCGAGTAATTTAAATTTTTAAGGATTTCCAGCGTTAAGGTCCCATTATTGTAGTTAATGCACCATTATCATCCAATTCTCTGCGATCATGACAATCATGATTTTGCAATTAGGAAAAATAAAGGTTGTTGACAGCGGCATGCTCGTTATCTCACAGATTAGTTTCAAATGAGTTTTTTATTTTCATAAGGTGTTGGACATGTCCTTGAAAGAAAAATATCTTGAGGGCAAATATGTTAAACATTGTCCTTGTTGTATAGTGTTAACATAGTCCTATTGTGTTAAAGATTGTATTGGTGTTTGTATAGTTTTAACATTTTCCATGTGCTGGTGTGGTGTTAAATATAAATCAGATATTGATGTGATGTTAAATACTGTCAGAGTAATGATATATAAACGCTGAGCCATGCAGTCTAACATTCTTTGCTCAGAAAGCTATTTTTACCTGAAAACAGATTTTCTCTGTAAGGATTATTTATTTATCCTTTTGTTTTCATTTATGTTGGGGAAAAACATTCTTTTTGCCAATTTGTTCTTGAAACCTTTTCAATGACTTAAAATTTAAATTACTTGGGGATGATTATTTTCTTGGAAATCTAATTAAAATTTTTGCAGAGTAAACATTTGGGTTTTCCTCCTCCATACATTAGGGCGTTGGTCCTGAAATAACGCCATCATAAGGGTTGTGCCCATCCAAGACATTGCGGGAGGCGGACCTGTTGAATTAAATTAACCAACTTTGCTGAACGTGGACCTGTTAGAAACAATATTAACCAACCTTTTCGAACTCTGAAGACATGTCTAAATTTATAAATGTAGTTTGGCTGAAAATGTTTCTATGTATAAATAACTGTAACACAGCCAGTTGCCTTGTCATAGCTGAGAAAAAGATGACCAAACACACAAAAACACTAAGACAGCTACTACAAACACATATACAACTAAATAAAGTAGGTAAGAAGTAATTAAATCCAATGTGCGTTGTTTTAATGCTAACAAAATATTTTATTGTAGTTAAATTTACTTCTGTACTTATATCAACATGAAATATTTTTTTTTCAAAACATTTTTTTTTGTTAAATTCTCAAACATTTTCAAAGTCATATCCTAGTAAATTTAAAAATGTATTTTAAATGTTGTCAATCACAGCTTTTCTGTGATCTTGAAGGCCAGCTCCAGGTTTTTCGTTCAATTCCTACTTGTAATCGATCTAATATTGATTTTATTTATTTTTCTTACATTTTCTTTCATATTCTTTTCAGTAACTTAATTATACGGTTTTAAACTAGTTGCTGTTCCTGTAAGAAAACTTTGGGAATGACTGCTCTATATATATTTTTTAAGACTTACAATCTCTCCCAAAATACATCCAGTTCGGTTTTCAAATGGTCGTCTCATTAGCTAATAGGCACTGATAGATATGGCCTACTTTCATAATGGAACAGCCTTTGATCCACCTGCGTCTGATGTTTCCAACTCTCAAATAGACTACTCTTTCTTTCAACTTGTTGCTCCCTCCCCAAGTGAATCTCAACATTTGGGCGTGAGGGGCATTTCATTAAATCATCGCGAGGGGCAGTTCATTAAATCATCGCGAGGGGCATTTCATTAAATCATCGCGAGGGGCAGTTCATTAAATCATCGCGAGGGGCATTTCATTAAATCATCGCGAGGGGCAGTTCATTAAATCATCGCGAGGGGCAGTTCATTAAATCATCGCGAGGGGCAGTTCATTAAATCATCGCGAGGGGCAGTTCATTAAATCATCGCGAGGGGCAGTTCATTAAATCATCGCGAGGGGCAGTTCATTAAATCATCGCGAGGGGCAGTTCATTAAATCATCGCGAGGGGCAGTTCATTAAATCATCGCGAGGGGCAGTTCATTAAATCAGGGACGACCTATAGTTCCTCTCCCCAGGCATCTCTCCGGAAGGGGACATTATTCCCCCTTCCCCCAGACGAAATAGAAAACCAAATTAAAGTTATATATAAAATATAGATTAACTTAACTATTCCATGTCTAAAAGAGAGCCTGTCATATCTTATCGCTGGGAGTCTCACGGAGATTAGGTTGTACGAATTTGAAGGGTCACCAATTGGTCGTAGTTCTCTGCTTCAGCTGGTGAAGATCAGTTGTCTTTTTAAAAAATTATACGTAATAGTTCTTGGTCGCACACGAACACACGTTATTGTGTGCGTGTGTTGAGGGTGACACGAATACCATATTCCACAGTTCTTGTATGTGTAACATCGACGTCATTCGGCAGCGAGTTCCAAACTTAACTGTTTGAATAACGTTTGACCAATCATACAAACATAGTAAGTGACCTCATAGACAAGACCTCCAGACTGGTTAGCCACTTGCCACACAATTCCCTGTTCATCTATCCACAGATTAAGAGTCAAATAATAATGTAGTGTGTATAATCCTTAGTTCTAATATAAAACAAGCGAGTCCATGATGAACATACATATCAAAGTGTTACAGAGAGGGTATAGCTGCACCAGGAGAAATGTTATTTACTATAGCTCTAAACATAGCACTGCCTACTTGAGTTTTCTATTTGAAGCCTGCTCTAAAATCTACCTGCGATTTTTTTGTTCTAATCCATGTTTTATTAAATGGTGGTTGAGGCGTGGAATCGGAACTCTAAACCCGATTAAATAGGTATAAATTATTGCTTTTACATTTAGTTTTTCTAACAAAAATATAAGTAGAAATGTGCAATCCTGTTCTGTTATTAAAATACTGGTGTAAAAATCATATAAATTTGATAAATAAAGTATTGTGTGAAGTCGATGACACATGTCTAGTGCAGTCGTACGTGCTGCGCCGGGTCAAAGGTGACCGGCTGACCCGTGGGTTAAATAGTCTGGTCGGACGACATGCTCTGGAAGCCTGACGTCACCGTGCTATCGCTGCCCAGCTCGGTGCCGTCCTTGTGGATGGACCCCGCCAGGATGGGGAACGTCTCGTCGTACTGGGAGTCGCCGCTCCCGCCGCTGTAGCTCCTGACGTCAGCCTCGCCCAGCTTGTGCCGCGCCGTGCGGTACTGGTAGGTCAGCTGTTTTTTAGACCGGTACACAAAGTCCAGCGAGGTCACTTGGTCGTCCATGTCCTCCGGTGTGAACGGAAGTGGGTTGGAGGTTTTCAGGCCGTGGAGGTGAAGGTCGATGTATTCCTGAGACCAGAAATATAGTACATGAGTGTGAGTGGGTAGATCTATATAATATATATATATATATATATATATATATATATATATATATATATATATATATATATATATATATATATATATATATATATATATATATATATATATATATATATATATATATGTCTTTTAATTATTAGGATTGTAAAGAAATAAGGATACGGCTGTTTTTATATACTTAAACGTAATTAAACGTAATTCTCAAGCACTGATTAAAAAAAAAAGTAGATTTGTGTAAAGATCGAAATGTGTAAGTATGAAACCAAAGAGTGTTGTATGAAAGAAGGAGAGTGCCGGACTGTCCGTGCACCCTATCTACTGACACTGACCACTTCTTTTGTCTTCTGGATGAGGTTGTCCAGCGTCTGCTCCAGCTGTCTGAAGGAAGGCCTCAGTCTGGGATCTTCTCGCCAGCACGCTCGCATGATACGGTACCTGGTGGGGCGGGGATCAACAGCACTTACATTAGCGTGTACACAGGGGGGATGGACTACACATTAGCATGTACACACGGGATCAACAGCACTCACATTAGCGTGTACACACGGGATCAACAGCACTCACGTTAGCGTGTACATAGGGGAGGAGGGACTAGTAGCATGTACACACGGGAGGATGGACTACACATTAGCATGTACACAGGGGAGGATGCTCTACACATTAGCGTGTACACAGGGGAGGATGGACTACACATTAGCATGTACACACGGGATGATGGACTACACATTAGCGTGTACATCGGGGAGGATGGACTACACGCATTAGCATGTACACACGGGAGGATAGACTACACATTAGCGTGTACATCGGGGAGGATGGACTACACGCATTAGCATGTACACACGGGAGGATGGACTACACGCATTAGCATGTACACACGGGAGGATAGACTACACATTAGCGTGTACATCGGGGAGGATGGACTACACGCATTAGCATGTACACACGTGAGGATGGACTACACGCATTAGAGTATACACGGGGGAGAATCGACTACACACATGTACACTCGGGGGGAGAATTGACTACACACAACATGTACACACGGGAGAATAGACCACACATAACAATTAACATGTACACAGGTGATAATTTACTACACATTAAGATATCACTTATTAAGTGTGAAGTAAATCAATTAGATTTAAAACGTTGAGCTTCTACTTTGGACCTGTCAATAGGGCAGATGAAGTAGAGTTCAACTATTTTCATGCCCTCAGCATAAAAGGGAAATTGTCGGTTGTATACCTAGACATTTGTACATCACAACCATGAGCCAGGTACCCAAGAGAGCTGGGTGGACTCCGTCCAAACTAGTAATCCAGCGCTCTAGCACCGAACAACACCGTCACATTTACATATATGTCTATGATTTGGGTGTTGTGGAGTCGGGTTTGTGGTGTGGTCTGAAACCATTGGTCAAGCCCAGAGGCATAGCGGGGCAGGGGGGGGGGGGGGCGGGGGGTTCGGACTGCACCGGGTGACACCATTTAGGGGGGTGACACCAAGGCAAAAAATAGGAAAATATATAGAGAAAAATTTGAGAGGGGGGGGGGTACAAATAGAAAGTTTGAGGGGAGGAAGGTGCAAATCGAAAATTGAAAGTTTGTCCCCGGGAAGAGTCGCTACGCCTCTGGGGGCGGGGGGGGGGGGGGGGGGGGGTTGACACCATTAGGTGCCGCACCGGGTGACACCCGACCTCGTTACGCCACTGGTCAAGCCCCACATCCCCCGCCCCCCATCAAACACTTACAGCTGCTCTGGACATGCGGGGGGCTTGGACATCCTGTAGCCGTATTCATGCAGCTCTCGGAGCTGTTCTGTGGGAGAACAAGCAGGAGACTTTAATCACTAATTACACACTAATTACACACTAATTACACACTAATTACACACTAATTACACACTAATTACACACTAATTACACACTAATTGCACACTAATTACACACTAATTACACCCTAATTACACACTAATTACACACTAATTACCAACTATTTTCCATCGATCGACAAATAAAATAATAATTTTTTTGGACATATTCTTACAACATTACAAAATACCAAATTTTAATGCTATTCTTAACGGTGAAAATTCAATTGTTTAATTAATTGGTGTGTCGATAATGTATGGAAGAAAAATTTGATGGATTTTTATTCAGGGGTGGGTTTATATCGCATTTAGCTTAGAATATTAGCAGATTATTCAAACAAGAGGATACATTACATTTAGGTAACAAGTTTCGCTTCTCTACAAATTTAGTTTGTAATACAGCGTAAAGTTTTCTGTTTATACTAGAGCAGAGGTTTTATTCTAATTATATATTAAGTATAATGGTTTAACAAAAATCGTGCAAAGATTATTACACCTTGGTTTAAAAAATAAATGGCACGTTTTTAATATTTTCTCTTTTGTGTGGTCTTAATTTTTCTACCTACTACAGTTTTTAAGGAAACATCTTATAGGTTGTCTCCCTTGGCTCTTTCAAATTAATGCAAGTGACGAAGTAGCAAATGTAAATGTTGGAATTTAAAATAATTAATAATATATTTTATTTTTAAACTTTTCAATTTTGCTGAAGTGATTAACTAGTGATGTAATACATTATTATAATGTAATATACTGATTTTACTTTCTCGTATACAGAGTACAGTGGACGTATTGTAACCGTGCACAAAAATCACATGTAACTTTTTAGTTTTACACCTCAGTGTACTTCATCATATACGGAATATAGAGGAATTATTCACAATTCTAAATCCAAATTGATCAACATCTCGGCGTCTTACACGTCATCGAGTCGGAAAAACTGAGCGTTGCAATTTTGTCTGTGTTTCTGTGTGGATGTGTGTTTTTCTGTGAGCAATATAACTTATTACCATTACAGCTAGGTTGACAAAATTTCATAAATAAATATTATGTCAAACTTTAGAACTGTATCAACTTTTCAGCAATTTCCGGTAACCGGAAGTTGAACTTATTCTACTTTTCCGATTACTCAAAAATGCATATGAATTTATTATTTAACTTGATTCGTCCTACATGACCGAATAATTGCGAGCAAAATTTTAAACACTTCCACCGGACCGAGTTATTTTAAACTTTTTGCGTAGGTCAAGAATCGAAGACAATGTGTTGTGACATAACATGTTACTTAATTCGATGATTAATCAACTCTTTGAAAAGAGTACTAATGTTACGTACATATTGTTTGCTGTTCATTCTGTGCGTAATTTTTTTTTCTACGAGATAGGCCTACTGTTATATTAAAAAAAATTAAGCATTTAAAAATTGATTAAAAATTATTTCTATATCCCGAGTAGCAATTCCCCGTAGTATTATATTAGAATATTCGAGAAAGATTGGGGGGTGGGGGGGGGGAGAAATCATTCCCGCTGTATTTAACGTTACAATTAAATAATTTAAATATGTATGTATATATATATATATATATATATATATATATATATATATATATATATATATATATATATATATATATATATATATATATATATATATATATATATATATATATATATGAGAGAGAGGAGAGAGAGACTAAATATGTTGAAAAGTAGAATGTAGTTGGATGATCTTACCTGTGGTCACCTGAGGATATGGAGTGCCACCAAACGTATAGAGCTCCCACAGCAAAATACCAAAGGCCCACACGTCACTTTTTGAGCTATACTGGCCCCACAGTAGAGCTTCAGGACTCAGCCATTTGAAGGGTACCCGGTCCTGTGGCGTTGGAGAGATAGGTGAAGTAGAGCTTAGGTTTGTGGGGTGTGGAGATTGGAGATCAGACGTAGAGCTAAGCTTTTTGGTGACATCAGGTGAAGTAGAGCTAAGCTTTGTTGGGTGGGGAGATCAGATGAAGTAGAACTTAGGTTTGTGGGGAGATCAGGTGAAGTAGAGCTAAGCTTTTTGGTGACATCAGGTGAAGTAGAGCTAAGCTTTTTGGTGACATCAGGTGAAGTAGAGCTAAGCTTTTTGGTGACATCAGGTGAAGTAGAGCTAAGCTTTGTTGGGTGGGGAGATGAGATGAAGTAGAACTTAGGTTTGCGGGGTGGTGAGATCAGGTGAAGTAGAGCTAATCTTTTTGGTGACATCAGGTGAAGTAGAGCTAAGCTTTGTTGGGTGGGGAGATCAGGTGAAGTAGAGCTTAGCTTTGTGGGGAGATCAGGTGAAGTAGAGCTTAGGTTTGCGGGGTGCTGAGATCAGGTGAAGTAGAGCTAAGCTTTGTTGGGTGGGGAGATCAGGTGAAGTAGAGCTAAGCTTTGTGGGGAGATCAGGTGAAGTAGAGCTTAGCTTTGTTGGGAGATCAGGTGAAGTAGAGCTTAGCTTTGTTGGGAGATCAGGTGAAGTAGAGCTTAGCTTTGTGGGGTGGGGAGATCAGGTGAAGTAGAGCTTAGGTTTGTGGGGTGGGGAGATCACGTGAAGTAGAGCTAAGCCTGGCTAGTTATTTATCTAATGTTTATTTACAATTTTCATCCAAGCAGTCGTGTCACAAAGGTTAGATAGGAAAACATTTTGTGCGGCACAAAGGGATTTGTTGATCCTTCTAGCCCAGATGTCTAGGAGCAGTAGACATTTATAATAGTAGAATGTGTGTTGAGTTCATATGTGTGTATGTGTATTGATTAGTGTGTCTAGCATGTGGAATGTGATGCGTGTGTTCATATATGGTACGTGTGTGGATTCGTTTGTGTGTTCACTTGTGTGCGTTCATGTGTGTGTGTGTGTGTTCATGTGTGTGTTAATGTGTATGGGTGTGTGTTCAGCGTATGTGTTCATGTGTGTGTGTTCATGTGTGTGTTCATGTGTGTGTGTTCATGTGTGTGTTCATGTAGTGTGTGTTCATGTGTGTGTGTGTGTGTGTGTGTGTGTGTGTGTTTACCTTTTGAACCCTCTTGTAATGACCGAGCTCGTAGGCGTCCTTGGAGAGACCAAAATCCGATACCTTGGCTATGGGACCTTTAGTCAGTAGACAGTTCCGTGCGGCCAGGTCCCGGTGAATGTACTGCAGGAGACACAAGCAAAACATTGACGTTGATAACAGAACATGGTGGCCTTAAGGCAGGGGTTCCCAACCCCGTGTCCGCGGGCGCCATGGCGCCCGCCGAACGATTCGGATGTGCCCGCCTCTCACTTTTCGACAGAGACAGAATTTTTTTCATAAACAGTATTGAAAGGTTGAAGGGGTGCAAATCGAAAAGTTGAGGGGCTGGGGGTGCAAATCGGAAGTTTGAAGGGGGGTGCAAATCGAAAATTTTAGGGGGGGGGGGTTGCAAATCGAAAGTTTTGTCCCCGGGTGACAGGAAGGGTCGCTACGCCACTGGGTGCCCGCGACCCTACCGATAATTTAGAATGGGCTCTAGAGTAAAAAAAGGTTGGGAACCCCTGCCTTGAGGTATGTACAAGTAGGCTCGGTATTCTACAAGTAGGTAAATATACGTAGACGTGGTACTTTACAGGTAGATAGCTAATGTATTCGTAATGTACCATCGAATACAATAAAAGAAAACCAGAAATGGCAGAAAACAACATCTACATTAGTTTTGTCTTTTAGGATTAGAAATACAGAAGCCGCTAAGGACATTCTTAGTGCGTGAAACTAGAGATTAATTACGAATGAATTAATTAGAAACTGATAATTAACGCATAACACGTTTTAGTGTCACTGCCAATGTTCCCTGTCAGTTGCACGGTCGCGCCGTACTTGTAAACCTGCCGCGCAGTCACTTTGTAAAATACAAGTTAAATCGATTGACAGCATAACACACGCAGAATATATTTAGCACGCGAGCACTTGCTTCGTTGATGGAATGTGGATCACAGTGTAAGTTCAATGTATAAAATATTGCCACGGTCTGAAAATCAAATTCATGCGTGGAAATCCTTGTTACAACACGAGTCGATTTTTTTTTTGTTTCGTTTGTTTTAAAGCTCGTTTAATTTTCATGTCAAGTTTCTGTATTGCAGCTACTAACAATCGACTGTTCTTGCAAACACGTCAACTATTCCCTAATGTATACGAAAATCCCGAGCCTACAGTTAACCGTTCCCCCAATGCAGTCGGAAGCCCTATCTCATAACGTCAACAATTCCGCGATGTAAACAGACGTCCCTAGCAGAGAAGGTACAGACGAGCTATGCCACAGCGTCAACAATTACCCGATGCATCTCCAAATGCCCCATGCCCAAACGTCAACAGTTACCCGATGCATCTTTAAATGCCCCATGCCCAAACGTCAACAATTACCCGATGCATCTCCAAATGCCCCATGCCCAAACGTCAACAATTACCCGATGCATCTCCAAATGCCTCATGCCCAAACGTCAACAATTACCCGATGCATCTCCAAATGCCCCATGCCCAAACGTCAACAGTTACCCGATGCATCTTTAAATGCCCCATGCCCAAACGTCAACAATTACCCGATGCATCTCCAAATGCCCCATGCCCAAACGTCAACAATTACCCGATGCATCTCCAAATGCCTCATGCCCAAACGTCAACAATTACCCGATTCATCTCCAAATGCCCCATGCCCATAACGTCAACACTTACCCGATGCATCTCCAAATGCCTCATGCCCTTGGCTATCTGCCATGCAAACATCATCAAATTGGCGTTGTCCTCCGTCTTAGGGGCGCTCTGCTCCACCATGCGCCCGTCGCTCCCCACACTGACGTACTGCAGGGGGAAGGTGCACTCTGTCTTTAGGTAGGAGAGGAGGTCCCCCAGCTCGGCGTACTCCATCACGATACAGCACTGGCCTGACGAGATACACACAAGTTGTGGGAATAGGATGAAATGTATTGTACACATAAGTCGTGGAAATAAGAGGAAATAAAATATACACGTAAGTCATACAAATAAGAGGAAGCTCTATTTGCACACAAGTCCTACAAATAAGAGCCTATTGTCACATTAAAGTCGTATAAAAAAGAGAATGTTCTAGATCTAGACGTACACAATTCGTAGAGATAAAAGGAAATGAAAGATACACAAGTCGTACAAAGAAGAGGAAGCTCAATTAGAACTAAAGTCGTACAAATAAGAGCCTATTTAAGTTACCTTAAGGTCGTTTAATAATAGTATGTTCTGGATGCACACAATTCGTACAAATAAAAGGAAATGAAAGATACAAAAATAGTCATACACATGAGAGGAAGTTCAAGTTACACAAAAGTCGTATAAAGAAGTTCTAGATACACAACTTTCGTACAAACAAGAAGTAAAACATACAGTGGCAGTAACGAGTAACCGATAACCTGAATTTGGTGCACACTAACAGAGCCATAATAAACACAAAGTGTTGACTTGAACCCACCTTCAAATATCGTGGACCCGTACAGGCCTATAATGTTGGGATGTGGACCCACGTTCATCATTTGCTCCAGTTCATCTCGCAGATTTCGAATTTCGTCATCTGTTGCCGTCTCTTCAAAGGCAACAATACAAAAGATGTTGATGTTTTCAATTGTAAAACAATTTTTTTCTTATATCTTTATTCAGCCCCAACCGATTTAATTTTTAAAATCTTTTCTATTCATAGACGTTATATTTTCAGGGTTGTTTATTTTCATTACAAATTGCTTTTTAAGTCAGAAATCAGAAATATTGTTTGCTTCTGACGAAGACTATACAGCAATACTTTTGAAATGTAGCCTACGTATTTTTTCTATAATGTTTTTAAAATATATTTCCAATTGTATATATATATATATATATATATATATATATATATATATATATATATATATATATATATATATATATATATATATATATATATATATATATAATGTATAATTTGAATTGATCCTTTATACTTGAAAAAAAATGCTTGAAGCTTTCGATCCACCTCTTGCTTAAAATAAATAAATAAATTAACTAACAGAAAGAATTGTTTTTCTCGTTGAAAAAATTCACCTTTCAATCTTTTGATGGCGACTTTGACCGGGTCCCGATCGTGTGAGTTCAGGTAGGCGTAGGCCTCATAGACCTGACCAAAGGCCCCTCGGCCGATCATGTGACCGATGTCCTTGATTCGCAGGCTGTGTCTGGCACTACACCGGCACTCGACGGATGCGGGGTTGACGTTTCCGCTCGAGAACTGGACCTCGTCCTTCGTCACGTTCATGATGCTGGACCTTGTGTTCTAGAGGTGGGGAATACTTAGGTCAGGGACCTTGTGTTCTAGAGGTGGGGAATACGTTAGGTCAGGGACCTTGTGTTGTAGAGGTGGGGAATACGTTAGGTCAGGGACCTTGTGTTGTAGAGGTGGGGAATACGTTAGGTCAGGGACCTTGTGTTGTAGAGGTGGGGAATACGTTAGGTCAGGGACCTCATGTTCTAGAGTTGGGGAATACGTTAGGTCAGGGACCTCATGTTCTAGAGTTGGGGAATACGTTAGGTCAGGGAGAGATCTAGAGGTGGGGAATACATTAAGTCAGGGACCTTGTGTTCTAGAGGTGGGGAATACGTTAGGTCAGGGACCTTGGGTTGTAGAGGTGGGTAATACATTGGGTCAGGGACTATATTCTAAAAAGCCAATGACCTTTGATTTAGTTTTAGATATGCGGAATGATGGTTTTTATTTGTTTGAAGAATAAATTATAACCAATATATTTGTTTCATAAAAAATAACTTAGTAGAGGACACACCAGATGACGACAGAATAGTTGTGTATTATCGCCAAATATCTACCCATACACCCCACACAACAGCTGTATATCTCCCACACGCCTCCCACAACGTTGCATATTTACCCACACACCCCACACAACGCTGCATATTTCCCCACACACGACACACAACGCTGTATATCTCCCACACGCCTCACACAACGTTGTATATTTACCATTTTCCCGTTGTACCTCTTCAAAAGTCGTCGCTTTGTCCTGTAGTGTCGACCAAATATGAAGAGGATGACGAAGACACAAACGATGAAGACGATAGAGGCAGCCACAGCAAGCGGCACAACTGTCAAACCAACAAGAAGAGAGCGTTGACATTTGTATCACTTGTGTTAAAATGTGTGTGACAAAAATATTTTAAAAGTTCAATTTTGTTACGTAAGTGGGTGTACCTGTCACTAAGATCGAAATTTCTAAATGTGATAATAATCAATGCTCATTATCTTCATTAAGTGTAGTATCTACTGTAGTCTCATTACTTCTTAGCCTGATAGTTTGACAGAGATTGGACCTGGTGTCTTGACCTGAGTGCCCTGTTCTGATTGCCCTGACCTGGTGCCCACAGTGTGTACCCCAACCTGGTGCCTAAGGTAGGTGCCCATGAACTAGTGCTTGGGACTGGTGTCAGAATAGTATAGTTGTTTATATTTCGATAGAGCGAAACTCAACAATCTCAAATAAAACCTTTAGATTTAAATCCTGATAAATTCGTCCCTCGGCCCCTGAAGTTAAATCCCCCTCCCCTTTTGGGTTTATAAAAATGTAACGAGAAATAAGATTTGTCTTATCTAGATATTACATTTCTTAATTATTAATTTTAATGAAGGATGTCGTTTATTTTAATCCCATGTGTTGGATGTAAAAAAAAACACAAGATTTAATTCCATTCTTTGTTAGACAAAAGAGCTCAAGGGGACATCACCGTAGGGTTTTGTTGTGTTCACATTGATACACATCACAGGTGTAGGAGACTAAACACCACGTACACCAATCACGTCGCGTGACACACCGCTACATCCCAGGTGTAGGAGACTAAAACACCACGTACACCAATCACGTCGCGTGACACACCGCTACATCACAGGTGTAGGGAGTTAAAACACCACGTACACCAAACACGTCGCGTGACACACCGCTACATCCCAGGTGTAGGGAGTTAAAACACCACGTACACCAAACACGTCGCGTGACACACCGCTACATCCCAGGTGTAGGAGACTAAAACACCACGTACACCAATCACGTCGCGTGACACACCGCTACATCCCAGGTGTAGTAGACTAAAACACCACGTACACCAATCACGTCGCGTGACACACCGCTACATCCCAGGTGTAGGAGACTAAAACACCACGTACACCAATCACGTCGCGTGACACACCGCTACATCACAGGTGTAGGGAGTTAAAACACCACGTACACCAAACACGTCGCGTGACACACCGCTACATACCAGGTGTAGGGAGTTAAAACACCACGTACACCAAACACGTCGCGTGACACACCGCTACATCCCAGGTGTAGGAGACTAAAACACCACGTACACCAATCACGTCGCGTGACACACCGCTACATCACAGGTGTAGGGAGTTAAAACACCACGTACACCAAACACGTCGCGTGACACACCGCTACATCCCAGGTGTAGTAGACTAAAACACCACGTACACCAAACACGTCGCGTGACACACCGCTACATCCCAGGTGTAGGGAGTTAAAACACCACGTACACCAAACACGTCGCGTGACACACCGCTACATCCCAGGTGTATGAGACTAAAACACCACGTACACCAAACACGTCGCGTGACACACCGCTACATCCCAGGTGTAGGGAGTTAAAACACCACGTACACCAATCACGTCGCGTGACACACCGCTACATCACAGGTGTAGGAGACTAAAACACCACGTCTACCAATCACATCACGTGATGGATGGTGCACACGGTTCAAATCAAATTCGTGACATTTGTTTTTGTCGTCCAACAAAAGTTTGGACTACAAAAACTCACAACTTTAAAACAATCGTTGCTGCGTATGTTTAGTTAAAATGAAATTAGGTCCTGGCTATCCAAGATAAAAAAAAAAATCAACGCTGCATAATGGATTATTTACGTGACATCGCATTAAAATATCTCTTTAAATATTTACATTTTTACTTTTGATTAACATTTTTGTCTACTTCTCTAGGTTTGCTTGTCCGTAAAACTAAAAAGTTTTTAATACATTTTGAGGTCAAGAAATTTTTTTAAAAATAATATAGCGTTGTGGTGAGTGGGGAGGACGGAAAGAGGGGTAAGAGGGGTGGGGTGAGGAATTGATTCCTTTCTTTTTTTTTGTCCAGGCATTTAGCCCACTGGGTTGGCACTAACAGGTCAATGCTGGTTTTAATAAGCAGACAAACGATAAAGAAATGGTAATTACATAACAGCTTTACCGAGCTTGTTGATTATGTAACAGCTATTTTATAATGAGAGCGTAACACGAACGTAGTGATGTTATTGTTTTCCTAATTGTTTTTATTACAAGCTTTTATTGAACTTGCTTTCTTGTATGTCTGTCTGTCTGTCGTGCTTAATGTTTCGTTTTCAATCGAAACTGTCGAGCGAAATTTCGAACACTTTTAACCGACACATTTCTACGAAACTTGGCACGTAAAATGCAATCTACATGAATATTGACTTTATGCTTGCTTAATTTTTAAAGAATCAATTAAAGTTTCCTATATCAATAACTATTTACCGTGCGATTATAATTATAAGACTTTTTTCGTGTTCATTTAGTGCCCAACTGTTTTTAATCATGCAATTGTATGATATTAAGATTTTTAAAGCTGACTTACAAAAACCCCCATAAAAAGCGTTTAAATAACAAACTTTTATGTAATAATGCACTAAAAATGAAAAAATAAATTATTTTCTTTAAATAATGCACTACTATTTAAAGAAAGAACTTTTTAAAAAGCGAGGTTCGCTTCACAAATTCTAGCGCAGGTATTCAAAACATAATAATACGACCCAGGCTTTTCTTTTTAGTTATTTAAATAGTAGTTCATTATTATATATTTAAATTAAATAATTCATTTTCTCCTTTTTAGTGCATTATTACATAAAAGTTTGTTATTAAAACGTTTTAATGCTTTTTTTAAAAGTGTATCTGTGATTAAAAATAGATTCAGCTTACACAACTCAGTGTTGTTTCGTGGATGTCTCTCAATCAATTTGGAATCGTTTTCTGTGGAGGAAGAGCAGAGAATTACAACCTGTCTCATATGTCATGATATGTCATGATATGTCATAATATGTCATGTGCGCCGCATACTGTCATTCTAGCTGTAATAAAAAAATAATAACGGGTTTAATCAATATATACTCGTAATTACTTGTAATTAAGATATTCTATATTTATAAGGTGCATGGTAACAAATTCTGGACAACAATTTAGATTTAGAGATAATTATCTTTTGTTAATGAACCTCTCGATAGCCGTAAGACATACTACTTCCTCGTGTACATATCTTATCATGGCCTTCAAACTTTTTTTTTTCAAGAAAATTTGTTTGACAATACATTTGCAAGATTTTGCATTCAAGCAATAAATCGTGTATGTAGTTATGGAATATCAAATGTAAATTTATAAACCCGATGCGTGATTTAATATGTCGTGGGAATAGAACGGCAATCATCTGTTTAAAAACGTAAAAAAAAAAACGTATACAGCCGTAAAATTCCCTAAATACAAGTTAACGTTAGACAACAGCTATAAATGAACTAATCATAGAACATGTTGGAAAATAGCTGGAAATACTGGAAAACAACCGCAAAAGTAACAACAGAATTCACAAACCTCCGTAAATTGACGAAAAAATCATCTCTAAAACAATACTCAGACATGTAAACATGAATAATAAGAAGGTAACGGGTATCTTTGAACTGACAGTACATCTGTACGAGAATGGCCTTGACCTACCTTTGTTCAAGTATGAGCACTGCTCGGCGTGCGAGTGGTCGACGGTGCAGGGGGAGCAGATGCCGACGCCGGAATAGCTCTTGTAGGTGCCATTAGGACATTCTGTGAAGGTGTGGAGAGTCTAGGATAACTTCCGGTAGGTAAGCAGTAAATTGTTGAACAGATTTAGTATTAACTCACCGCCCTTATGATTATTATAAAACAGCGTGGCCTAAGTGGTAGAGCACTAGGCTGCTAACTCAAAAGTCTCGAGTTCGAATCCGGATTTAAGTCAATATAACGTCCCTGAGTCCTAAATCGGCTCGGCAAAGTGCTGACCACACCTTCCCTTCATATGCCGAAGTCAAAAAACATATGAACTCTTCTTCATCTGCCCAATAGATCGCGAGATCTAAAGGGGATTCTTAACTTATACTTATTCCAGAATACAATCTCCTAAAGGTACAATCTTCTTTTCATATCTCCCAAAGGTACAATCCTATTTTCACAACCACCTAAAGGTTCAATCTTGTTTTCATAATCTCCTGATAGAAACGATTTTTTTTCCTAATCAAATTTACGGAAAGACAGACATTTACAGATACAAACTGACTTTCATAATATCCAACATATACTATATGTTAGCACAATCATATACAATCACAATCTTGCTTGCACAGCCCCATACAAGTACAATCTTACTTTCACAAGCACATACAAGTCCAATCATATACAATCACAATCTTGCTTCCACAACCCCATACAAGTACAATCTTACTTTCACAAGCACATACAAGTCCAATCATATACAATCATAATCTTGCTCTCACAACCCCAAACAAGCACAATCTTACTTTCACAAGCACATACAAGTCCAATCATATACAATCAAAATCTTGCTTTCACAACCTCATACAAGTACAATCTTCCATCCCTAACCTCATACAGGTACAATCTTCCATCCCTAACCTCATACAAGTACAATCTTCCAGCCCTAACCTCATACAAGTACAATATTCCAGCCCTAACCTCATACAAGTACAATCTTCCAGCCCTAACCTCATACATGGAAACTCTTACTTTCACAGTCCCCTTGTTTGTTTGTAAAGTACCCCACCCCACAAGCGCAGATGGGGGCGGGGCCCTTCAAGATGGAGCCACCAGACGAACAAAGGCGGCACCGGTCGTTCCCGGGGTGGGGCTTGTAGTGCTGCTGGGGACAGGCTGTCAAAAGAAACAAAATACACTGACATTTGTTTTCACCTGAAACCCTTTCACCTAAAGCAGTAGTATTGTACCACGAAACTATGAATTAGATATGTAGCAGTAGTATTGTACCATGAATTAGATATGTAGCAGTAGTATTGTACCACGAAACCATGAATTAGATATGTAGCAGTAGTATTGTACCACGAAACCATGAATTAGATATGTAGCAGTAGTATTGTACCACGAAACCATGAATTAGATATGTAGCAGTAGTATTGTACCATGAATTAGATATGTATTTAGGACCTGTGCTGACATACCTAGACATTCGAAGTTTCCGTGCCCGACCCCTTGTCCCATGTACGTCCCCTCCATACAGACACAGCTGCCTTTGACCATCCTGTGTAGCGGCTTCTGGTGACAGTTGGTGCACGTCGAGTCTCGACAACCTAGGGTAAAGTTTGGTTGGCTGTGGGGGTTAGACTACACACATCCGGGTATGACATGCGACATATCTATATATATAATTCTCTTCTGGGATACGCTAGAAAACAAGCTGTAAGCGCGCTCCCTACCACCCCACCCTACATAGTCTGGTGAGCTGTGGTTCACGCTAAATGTTTACAATCGTAGAGCCGGGTTTAGTGACGGCTATTAGGGGCAGATAATTTAGTTTGAAACTTAGGGGAGGTAACTAAGAGGAGGCTGCTGTCACGGGGGGAGGGGGTGTAGGGTAGGGGTTGGGGGAAAGGAGGGTGGGGGTAGTATCGTCATTAACGACATACTGATAGTGTTTTAAAGCAAATATTTTCAGTGGCAGCATTGGTACTGTCGAATTCACAAATTATGAATTACTGAAAAGTAGAAAATAAAACAACTAAATAGCTGCGTATGATATGCCGCGGGTCGGCTCGTTTAACATATTGTATTAGTGGGGATATAAGGACGCGTGCAATAGTTTAAATGGGGACGCCTCCAGGAATTAAATATTTCGATGCTACTGATTTTTCCGGTTAAGAAAGAAACAAAACTGCATTTTCTGCTAATTTGGCACCCTAACTTAATAGGTTTTATTTATTTATTTTTTAATTTTTTTTTTCAAAAATTATTTCGAGTCTAAACCTAGCTGCGATACCGAAATTTAATCATCGATACGATACTGTGCAGCTTTAACCGCCCTCATAGAAGTCACATTTTCTATGGCCAGTTAAAAACTGTCTATTGTTTTCTTGATTAAAACCAGTTTTTACAATTACAAAATCTTAGCTAAGTGCGACATAATTTGTTGCGCTTGTCGCGTATTAAGACTTTAATAAACCGGGAGTAATCTCCCCTAAACTTTCTCGAATATTCTTATATAACACTACGTGGGTTGGCAACTCGGAATATAGACATGATTTTTAATTACTTAAACTTTTAAAAATAGAATTTCGTAGAAAAAAGAATTGCGCACCAAGCGAACGCCAAAACAAAATGTGCATAATAGTGCGGAATATTATTAGTACTTTATAAATTTACATGCGTTTTTGAGAAATCGGAAATAGCGTAAATTACTACTTCCGGTCAACGGAAATTACTCAAAATTTTACAGAAGGTAGAGAATTAGATCTTTTACGTACTTGTGAAATTTCATTTATCTATCTGAAATTGTACTTAAGTTATAGGCTTTTGAAAAATTCAAAGAAAAAAAAGTACCACTTTCGGTTATCGGAAATCGCTCAAAAGTTAAAACGGATCTACGATTTCAATAAAATACTTATATATGAAATTTCATCAACCTAGCTGTAACGGTATTCAAGTTATCGTGTTTACAGACACACAGACACACACACAGACACACACATACACACAGACATACGGACAAGATTGCAAAAATATGTTTTTCCGACTCAGGGAGGTGTAAAACGTCGAGGTTTGTAAAAATCTCGATTTTTTTTTGCATGATTACAAGACTTTCTCTGTACTTCGTATATACGAGAAAGTAAAAAACAACAACTCAATCTACAACTTAATATTTCTATCATTCTTAGATCATCTAATGAGATTAAACTCCCTATCTACTCACCATAATTAAAATTTTTAAAAATTGTAATGGATTTAAGTCAAAGTCAAGAGAAATTAAAGTATAATATTTTAAAAGAGAAGCAAGAGACGCCCATCAACCTGATAAACACCCCACGCAAACAGATCGCGTGGCGCGGTACGAGCTGGAATATGATATTTTAAATTAGACGGCACTTTATTTGTTTATATTTCAGGACGCTCGTCTAGAACCTCATTAGGGTCGCTTCCTTGTACATTTTCTTGAGATCTTATTCCATAACATCTTCCCTCGCTACAAGAGCAGGTTGGTTTATCAAAAGCGTCGAGGGACTTTATTGCAAGATGGAGTGCCTTCACCGGTTTTTATTGCGCGCCGGTTATGCGTGGGCCGGTTAGATGCCTGTTTATGTTCTACTTATGAGGGTTGGGGGTGTTAAAGTTTAAACAGTACCCCCCCCCCCCCACAACTAGATACGCCCATGTTTAACTCACCCCTCCCCATCCCCTCCCTCACTGCCACACTTTTAGCTTAAAGCCCACCCGTTCTTATGCAAATTGAGGTTTAAAAATAGAAATCTGGGCTACCTTTATAGACAGGACACGTGATGCTTCTTTCATTAATGGCGGACATCCGGATGTGCTGCGGGGCTGCGCAGGACGTATTAGTGTTACCAAGAGTCGAGCTCTTCACAAAGTGAATCAGAAAGATCAGATGACAGTCGCAGCGCCAGGGGTTGTTGTCCAAAGTCCTGAGAGACAAAAATTACATTGGATATGGATGCAATCGAATGCTGGAAAACATTGGATATGGATGCAATCGGATGCTGAAAAACATTGGATATGGATGCAATCGGATGCTGAAAAACATATTTATGCCAATATTTTTAACCAACACCTACGCGAAGGAAAAACTATAAATTCTGTCAATAGCCAATTTTGGCGATGACAGTAATTATTCGAAATTTCAGCTGTTCTTATGTAGGACTTCTAGAATTTCTGCAGTAGTGTGACTATCAATTTTAGAGCAGAGTAGAACTTGATGAGACTTATCTAACAAGGGCAATTGTTTATTAGAATATCACCCCCCCCCCCCACTCTCGCCCAACGCCACCCTTCTCTAATAGAGTTTATGTCCAACTATGCGGCAACGTCATCATAGACTGTATGTTCAGTATGTAAATGTCCCATCAACCTCATATGTCACAGAAAATCGATTTGAAATTCCCAAAAAAGTTTTAAAACAAAGTGATAAACATTTGATAATATTCAAATGGAACATGGCCTAAAAAAATCAATGCTATTAAACTGACAATTTAATACATTAGAATGTTGCAGATGTCAAATATTACAGGACGAACTTTACAAGATAAATAACACAGACGTAACGTTTGGTGAATTAAATGATAAGCTAAACACAACAGATTTTACATGAAGCTTTTCATGTTAGGCCAGTGGCGTAGCGAGGTCGGGTGTCACCCGGTGCGGCACTTAATGGTGTCACCCCCCAGAGGCGTAGCGACCTTTCCCGGGGACAAACTTTCAAGTTTTCGATTTGCACCCCCTCCCCATCAAACTTTCGATTTGCATCCCCCCTCAAGTTTTCGATTTTCACCCCCCCCCCCTTAAGTTTTTCTCTATATATTTTGCTATTTTTTGCCTTGGTGTCACCCCCCTAAATGGTGTCACCCGGTGCGGTCCGCACCCCACGCCCCCCCCTCGCTACGCCCCTGTGTTAGGCATAGCAAGTCTTAAGGAGACACACATTGAACGCAAGACTTATGTAACATATTTCAGACGACAGAATTAAGAGTTTCAATTCAATGCAAAAACTGAATGAAAAAATGTGCTTTTAGTTTTAAAACATATTTAAAAAAGTGAAATAGATGAAATCAATGGGATAATTGTCTACTTGACGTCACTTGAGTTCAATTATTTCCTATTTCGATTCTGACATATCAAGCAGCTGGATTGAAGACGTCCTTAGATTGGGGACGTCCTTAATTTGAGACGTTCTAAGATTAGAAACGTCCTTAGATTGGAGACATCCTTAAGTTTAAACGTCATTAGATTGGGAACGTCTTTAGATTGGAGACATCCTTAAATTAAGACGTTCTTAGATTGGAGACGTCCTTAGATTGGAGACGTCCTTAGATTGGAAACGTCCTTAGATTGGAAACGTCCTTAGATTGGAAACGTCCTTAGATTGGAGACATCCTTAATTTAAGACGTCCTTAGATTGGAGACATCCTTAATTTAAGACGTCCTTAGATTGGAGACATCCTTAATTTAAGACGTCCTTAGATTGGAGACATCCTTAATTTAAGACGTCCTTAGATTGGAGACATCCTTAATTTAAGACGTCCTTAGATTGGAAAAGTCCTTAGATTGGAGACGTCCTTATATTGGAAACGTCCTTAGATTGGAAACGTCCTTAGATTGGAGACATCCTTAATTTAAGACGTCCTTAGATTGGAGACATCCTTAATTTAAGACGTCCTTAGATTGGAAACGTCCTTAGATTGGAGACATCCTTAATTTAAGACGTCCTTAGATTGGAGACATCCTTAATTTAAGACGTCCTTAGATTGGAGACATCCTTAATTTAAGACGTCCTTAGATTGGAGACATCCTTAATTTAAGACATCCTTAGATTGGAGACATCCTTAATTTAAGACATCCTTAGATTGGAGACATCCTTAATTTAAGACGTCCTTAGATTGGAGACATCCTTAATTTAAGACGTCCTTAGATTGGAGACATCCTTAATTTAAGACATCCTTAGATTGGAGACATCCTTAATTTAAGACGTCCTTAGATTGGAGACATCCTTAATTTAAGACGTCCTTAGATTGGAAACGTCCTTAGATTGGAGACATCCTTAATTTAAGACGTCCTTAGATTGGAGACATCCTTAATTTAAGACGTCCTTAGATTGGAGACATCCTTAATTTAAGACGTCCTTAGATTGGAGACATCCTTAATTTAAGACATCCTTAGATTGGAGACATCCTTAATTTAAGACGTCCTTAGATTGGAGACATCCTTAATTTAAGACGTCCTTAGATTGGAGACATCCTTAATTTAAGACGTCCTTAGATTGGAGACATCCTTAATTTAAGACGTCCTTAGATTGGAGACATCCTTAATTTAAGACGTCCTTAGATTGGAGACATCCTTAATTTAAGACGTCCTTAGATTGGAGACATCCTTAATTTAAGACATCCTTAGATTGGAGACATCCTTAATTTAAGACATCCTTAGATTGGAGACATCCTTAATTTAAGACGTCCTTAGATTGGAGACATCTTATTCTCAGACACGTAACGCCGCCAGCCGGAGACAAACATGTTAAAGACAGAAGGGCTGCCGCCAATCTCGTGTCCGTCACTTACTTAGACAGCTCCCGCAGGTCATGTTTCTCTTCCGGGTTCACGAGGTCACGCGCATGACAGCCCACGTGTCAACAAACATCCAGCCCATTGATGTGGACGTTAACCACGTGATTACTCCATTACAGCACGTGATTGTTCGAAGATTTCCCTAACTGCCAGCCGTTTTATCGATCTACATTACAGCTTTTTCTGACTTACAGCGCAAGCAAGTTTTGATATTAGAAAGAATAATTTGGAGGAATATTTTGTAGTTAATATTATTGTTGTTTTTAATTATTTTAAAACCTTTTTTTTTCGTTTTTTGATTGGTCAACAAATGATGTTGGTCCATCCATCATGGATGACGCAACTAACAATAAAAGTCAGCTATAAGCTTGGGTTGACAGAATCTTGGTTGTAGAAGTATTGTGGTTGACAAAATGTTGTGGCTGACAAAATGTCGTGGTTGATAAAATGTTGTGGCTGACAAAATGTCGTGGTTGATAAAATGTCGTGGTTGACAAAATGTCGTGGTTGACAAAACATTGTGGTTGACAAAATGTCGTGGTTGAAAAAATGTCGTGGTTGATAAAATGTTGTGGCTGACAAAATGTCGTGGTTGATAAAATGTCGTGGTTGACAAAATGTCGTGGTTGATAAAATGTCGTGGTTGACAAAATGTCGTGGTTGATAAAATGTCGTGGTTGACAAAATGTCGTGGTTGATAAAATGTCGTGGTTGACAAAATGTCGTGGTTGATAAAATGTCGTGGTTGACAAAATGTCGTGGTTGATAAAATGTTGATGTTGACAAAATGTCGTGGTTGACAAAATGTCGTGGTTGACAAAATGTCGTGGTTGATAAAATGTCGTGGTTGACAAAATGTCGTGGTTGATTAAATGTCGTGGTTGACAAAATGTCGTGGTTGATAAAATGTCGTGGTTGACAAAATGTCGTGGTTGACAAAATGTCGTGGTTGATAAAATGTTGTGGCTGACAAAATGTCGTGGTTGATAAAATGTCGTGGTTGACAAAATGTCGTGGTTGATAAAATGTCGTGGTTGACAAAATGTCGTGGTTGATAAAATGTCGTGGTTGACAAAATGTCGTGGTTGACAAAATGTTCGGGTTGATAAAATGTTGTGGCTGACAAAATGTCGTGGTTGACAAAATGTCGTGGTTGACAAAATGTCGTGGTTGATAAAATGTCGTGGTTGACAAAATGTCGTGGTTGATAAAATGTCGTGGTTGACAAAATGTCGTGGTTGATAAAATGTCGTGGTTGACAAAATGTCGTGGTTGATAAAATGTCGTGGTTGACAAAATGTCGTGGTTGATAAAATGTTGTGGCTGACAAAATGTCGTGGTTGACAAAATGTCGTGGTTGATAAAATGTTGTGGTTGACAAAATGTCATGGTTGATAAAATGTTGTGGTTGTAGAAATGTTGTGGTTGACAAAACATTGTGGTTGACAAAATGTCATGGTTGATAAAATGTTGTGGTTGTAGAAATGTTGTGGTTGACAAAACATTGTGGTTGACAAAATGTCGTGGTTGACAAACGCTGCATCCACCTTGTAATACACAATACATGTCAGCTAAATGTTCGGGTTGATCAAATGTGCTTTTCAAGTCGAGTGGCTGTCTTTATTTTTTTTTTTTTTTAAAGTTTCTCCAGTTATTTTGTCAAATAAAAGATCGATTAGATGCGCAAAGTGTCGTATTAAAGCTAAAAAAGAAATTGGCAAGTTGAAGCTAAAATTAGCCACACAAATGTGAGAAAATCTCATTTTCCCAGCATGCGCTACTCTGATCACGTGTCTGTGAAGGTCACCACTTGTCTGAAAACGGTGCCGTCCGCTACTTTCGCTTTTCTGTACTTCTTTCAGTCGATGGATCCCCCCTGATGTAATTATCGTGACGTCATATCCGTGACGTGACGTAGGTCCCACCATCTCACCCCCCCCCCCCCCCTGCTGGGGTAATTGAATCGCTGTGGGCGTACGACGGGAACTAAAAGGTCAGCCTCACCGTGTGAGGTCAGCTCATGTGTTTAGATAAGGTCGACCTGTTCTTCGCTTCCCACCATAAAATGGGTGTTAATGGAGCCGGCTGGGATTGAAAGAAAACCGAATCGAATCAGTCTGGGACGGAGACATTTAATGAAAGTGGGCAGTGAGGCTGGAATAAAACTCTCCACTGTACTGTATAGGTGGTACACAATGAGTAGAGTGGTCGAATAAAAAAAAAAGATTCCTCTTTAGACCTAGCGATCCATTTGGCAGGTGAAGTAGAGTTCATATGTTTCTTGACCTCGGCTTATGAAGGGATAGGTAATATGGTCAGCACTATGCCCAGCCGCCTTTACTTGTTCTAACATGAGTTAGGTACCCATTTTAGCTGGGTCGACTCAGGGAAGTTTCACTGAATTAAACTCGGATTCTAGCAATCTATCGCTCTACCGCTAAGCCAAGCGGTCCCACGGGGTGGTCGAGTGGTCAGGTGATACACTCTCTCATGAAGTCTCTACATGGCAGAGATCTCCAGGGGTCCATCCAGCCAGTAACACGACAAAAGTTGGAACTTGTATAATCTCTAACTGTAGAGGCTAACGAGGCATTTACCCCGGCTTAGTCAAGATGTACCATTCTGATAGGTTTCTCTAGTCTGATGGGGTCCGTCAGTCATTTGACAGGCCGTGAAATGTCTAAAGACCGTAGCAATAGAGGCCAGTGTATTCGGCCTCCCCCGAGGATCATCCTGTCTAAGAATGTACTGTAGTATACTGGCTTCTATACATAGAAAGACAACGTTTTAAAAGTTAATGTATAACCTTAGTTCAGCTTTGATCTGCTGGGGACGTTTTTCAGTCCCAAAAAAGAAGTTCCGCGTTTAACTATTTGTCCGTAATACGACAAACCATTTCGTTTGTCAACCGTTGTAGCGAATTCTTAAGCAAGTAACTCCCATTAGATGTAATGTTCCTGGGGCTGCCTCACTATTCAGTTATTGACTGAAAGAAACAGTTCCAAGTTTCAACTTTTGACCTTTTGATCGTTGTAGAGCTGGCTGCGAGTTAAACGGAAGTTCGCCGAAGCTTCTAGAAAAGAGATTAAGTCTACAGGCTTTGTGGCTGCCCGACTGTATTGAGAAGCTCCCCCCCCCACCCCCACCCCCCTCGCTGAAAGATTTGCCTCCACGTGGTTCGATACCTGGACATCATCAGCGTCGACTGAGTTCCGTGATGAAACGCCGACACCGCGATTGGTGCCGCCTGATGAGACGTTTAACAGCGCATGCGCACACCAACGAACTTCTACATCATTCGCTATTTGAATCTTCTAAACCCTAATTTTATTTTTAGTTCAAGTGTCGTGTTGTGATTCTGTGGGTATGAGAAGTGGCTTAAGTAAAAATAAAACTACGGTAAACGGAGCCAAAAGGGGAATAGTTATTGTAGAATAGTTCAAAGAAGGGCGGTAACTAATAATGCAGCAAGGAGGTAACTAATAAAAGAATTTTATTTTTTGAAATTTTGAGGAAATAAATAAAACTGGAGATACTGAACAAAAAAATAGTCAAATTATTTTTTGAGATTTTGAGGAAATAAACAAAGGGGAGTTAACTGATGAAAGCAAAATAGTCTAATTTATTTCTGGAAATTTTGAGGAAATGAATAAAAAGGGGGGTAACTAATTAAAGAAAAATAGTCAAATTATTTTTAGAAATGTTGGAAAAATAACCGTAACAGGGAAGTAACCAATAAAGATTAATCAGTCATTCTATTTTTGTTTTTAAAAAATTATACTATTATACTATTGCAGGAAAACCCATAAAAATGATTTCGTTTTTGTGAAATGGTGTAAAAATATTTGTTTCTATTCAGGGTAGGGTATTCAGAAAGTAGGCTATCTTCAGAGAGTATTTTAAGTAAGACAGATGGTAACTCTATATCTCTGTAGCATACGCAATCCTAAGCTTGAACTGCTGGGATAATAATCTTTTCTATCCATTTATTTACAGGCAAAAAAAAAATCTTTCATGCAGGATGAAGGACGAGCGTCCTTCATCTTAATATTGTATTGTTTCAAATATTTAATTCCAACTGCGCTCTAATTACACCAAGACATTAATAGCAACTGATAATTTTAACCCTGTGCCTAATTGTTTGCAGTTTTCGCCACTCAAATCTCGCTCAGTTTTTTTTTTATCTTTTCAACCCAAAAACATTGGAACATTTTGCATCAGTGTATGCAAGAAATCTCCAACACAGCCGAAAATGTGTTTTTAAACGTACAAAAACACGTTAACGTTTCGTCTTTCTATGCGGGTTTGCGATCTGTAATGAGGTCACACGTCTGAATGGAGGTCTCGCAGTCGCGATCATAATAGAATCATATGAGGTCACGAGTCACAAAGGGATCACGACCCATAAAGGGATCATGACGTATAAAGGGATCACGAGCCATAAATGGATCATTACGTATAAAGGGATCACGAGCCATAAATGGATCATGACGTATAAAGGGATCACGAGCCATAAATGGATCATGACGTATAAAGGGATCACGAGCCATAAAAGTATCACGACCCATAAAGGGATCAACCCGTAAAGGGATCGCGACCCATATTTGAAGATGTAAAGACTAATGTACTCACACATTTTTCATGCTGTTAAGGTGCAACTGGGTCATCATGGGAAGCGACTCCAGCCTATTGTTGCTCAGGAAGCTGTGAATCAGGGGAGATAACAATACTGTGATTCAATTGGGTTGTGAACATAATAAAATAGAATGGATTTCTAAAAAATAAAAACGTTTGTGATAAAAGGAATTTTATTAAATATTTCAAAGCGCATTTTAAGGAATGATTTCTTTTGTCTTACAGATTTGTTAAATCAATTCCGTCCAATGTTCCATCTTCTAAAACAGAAATATTGTTGGCATAGAGTGCACTGAAATAGAAAAAAAAACAGCTTTAGTTTACTATGTTTAAAAATTACGTTCAAAAGTCATTTGCGAATAAAAAGTTATGATTAAAATTGTTTGATTTTTTTATGGCTATTGTTATTAACCATTTTATAAAGGAAAAAAAATAAAAACAACCTTTATAATAATAAGCCTTCTAATGCACTGAATATAAGAGAATACAAAAAAACTTGCCTTCTTCAAAACAATCTTAATTCGCTCATGAGATATCTAACATAGTTTAGCGAACAAAACTTTTTCTAAAGAAACCAAGTGCTTGTCATCTTACTTTCAAAACATTTAAAAGATTAACGGGTTTTTATATTTGTTTTATTTATTTTTCAGATCATTGAGAGCTTTTGCTGACTTCCAATCTTTCGTCTGTGAATATGTTTGTATTTATGTGATAGGTCAAAGTGCGGGGGTCAATATCCCCACCCTAGCAGTGAGTCCCGCACGTGTCTACATACAGAGTGAGTGCACACACAACATAGTGTGAACTCACAGTGAGGTTAAAGTCCTCGGCAAAGACCAACTCCTGGATACTCTCGTTATTTGGTTGAACTCAAGAAATCTGGAGAATAAAATATACAAATGGTATTCTACGAATCTCAAAACAGAAGCTTCGATACGTAACTTAGCTGGTTGAACTCGAGAAATCTGGAAATAAAATATACAAATGTTATTCTACGAATCTCAAAACAGAAGCTTCGATACCTAACTTAACTGGTTGAACTCAAGAAATCTGGAGAATAAAATATACAAATGATGTTCTACAAATCTCAAGAGAGAAGTTTCGATACGTAACTTAGCTGGTTGAACTCGAGAAATCTGGAAATAAAATATACAAATGTTATTCTACGAATCTCAAAACAGAAGCTTCGATACCTAACTTAACTGGTTGAACTCAAGAAATCTGGAAAATAAAATATAGAAATGTTATTCTACGAATCTCAAAACAGAAGCTTCGATACCTAACTTAACTGGTTGAACTCAAGAAATCTGGAAAATAAAATATAGAAATGTTATTCTACGAATCTCAAAACAGAAGCTTCGATACCTAACTTAACTGGTTGAACTCAAGAAATCTGGAAAATAAAATATACAAATGATATTCTACGAATCTCAAAACAGAAGCTTCGATACCTAACTTAACTGGTTGAACTCGAGAAATCTGGAAAATAAAATATAGAAATGATATTCTACGCATCTCAAGAGAGAAGTTTCGATACCTAACTTAGCTGGTTGAACTCAAGAAATCTGGAAAATAAAATATAGAAATGTTATTCTACGAATCTCAAGAGAGAAGTTTCGATACCTAACTTAGCTGATTGAACTCAAGAAATCTGGAAAATAAAATATAGAAATGTTATTCTACGAATCTCAAGAGAGAAGTTTCGATACCTAACTTAGCTGGTTGAACTCGAGAAATCCGGAAAATAAAATATAGAAATGATATTCTACCAAACTCGAGACAGAAGCTTTGATACCTAACTTAGCTGGTTGAGCATCATAGTTCTCCAAAGAAATTATTCATTTTTGTTCACATTAAGCTTAAAATTGTAACTTGTAACTGTGAAAATAAAATAGAAGTTTCGGTGGTGAGGTTCATCCTGTTTTTGATCCAGCAACACCTGGAAGGGATCTTGTTACCAGAATGTCAACTGAAAATCTCCAGTATCTGGCTTAAACTCGGCTGTTATTTATATCTTGACCTTTCTCTTCTAGGTCAGCTTGACAAGAAGGCACTGATGTAATGGAGGTTTAATTACATAACTCCTGTGTTTATCCAAATTTGAATTTTAGCTCGAAATTTCTTAAAGTCTTAAGTTAAAAAAAATTCAATCCAAATTTTTAAAAATAAGCAACGTTTATACATTAAAGTTTCTTTTTTTTTTTCGTTAAAATGTTTTCCCCTCGATTTGCAATACGCGTCATATTAAAAAGCTACAATGCCTTGATGTTGTGACGTCAAATATTTTTTCTTACCTAACTTTGTGATGTTGAAATTTCTTTATGGTTCAATTCTAGAAGGCGTATAACTTATCCTGTTTACTTTGTGTTGCAGTATAGCTTTTAATATTCACTTTGATGTTGTTTTGCGGTATTGTATTTTACTTTGATGTAGCAATGTGGCTTTTGATGGTTATTTTGATTGCGTTGTTTGGCTTTTGATGTTTGCTTCACATTGTAATTTAGCTTCAATATTTTGTGTCATTGGAAAAAAAACCTTGCTTTAAAATTAGAAATCCGAGTGTTGAACATGTTTTGGTTTAGACGTCTTTGACATGAGTACTCACCTAGAACATTTACTCAACTCTTCAAGAAACACGTGTACGCCTACAGAAAAGAAACATGTGTACAGAAAAGAAACATGTGTACAGAAAAGAAACACGTGTACAGAAAAGAAACACGTGTACAGAAAAGAAACACGTGTACAGAAAAGAAACACGTGTACGCCTACAGAAAAGAAACACGTGTACGCCTACAGAAAAGAAACACGTGTACGCCTACAGAAAAGAAACACGTGTACAGAAAAGAAACACGTGTACGCCTACAGAAAAGAAACACGTGTACGCCTACAGAAAAGAAACACGTGTACGCCTACAGAAAAGAAACACGTGTACAGAAAAGAAACACGTGTACGCCTACAGAAAAGAAACACGTGTACGCCTACAGAAAAGAAACACGTGTACAGAAAAGAAACACGTGTACGCCTACAGAAAAGAAACACGTGTACAGAAAAGAAACACGTGTACGCCTACAGAAAAGAAACACGTGTACGCCTACAGAAAAGAAACACGTGTACAGAAAAGAAACACGTGTACGCCTACAGAAAAGAAACACGTGTACAGAAAAGAAACACGTGTACGCCTACAGAAAAGAAACACGTGTACGCCTACAGAAAAGAAACACGTGTACGCCTCCAGAAAAGAAATACGTGTACGCCTACAGAAAAGAAACACGTGTACAGAAAAGAAACACGTGTACAGAAAAGAAACACGTGTACGCCTACAGAAAAGAAACACGTGTACAGAAAAGAAACACGTGTACAGAAAAGAAACACGTGTACGCCTACAGAAAAGAAACACGTGTACGCCTACAGAAAAGAAACACGTGTACGCCTACAGAAAAGAAACACGTGTACGCCTACAGAAAAGAAACACGTGTACGCCTACAGAAAAGAAACACGTGTACGCCTCCAGAAAAGAAACACGTGTACAGAAAAGAAACACGTGTACAGAAAAGAAACACGTGTACGCCTACAGAAAAGAAACACGTGTACGCCTCCAGAAAAGAAACACGTGTACGCCTCCAGAAAAGAAACACGTGTACGCCTCCAGAAAAGAAACACGTGTACGCCTCCAGAAAAGAAACACGTGTACAGAAAAGAAACACGACGTTTAGGGGCCCAATCCGACCAAAAAAAACAATGAATTTTTATTTTATAAATAAATTTTTTTCGTACACCTAGATCGTGGTTTTGTAAATAACAAACAGATCTACTACAGTAGTGATGCTATACAGTAGCTAACACATGCTGTTGCGTAAAAAAATATATATACACATGAGCTGTAGTGTGAAAGATATGCTAACGTTCAAACACCTTCCATGACTTATTTCCCTTTTTAAAATAGTCAAATAGGGGTGCTCATAAGACTTAGTTCTTTTTAATAGATTTGTACTAAACAAAATAAAAAGCAATTACTTCTCCTATTATTAGTTTAAATTTTTTTACTAAAGAATGACATTGTAAAAAACGAAATGTATTTAAAATTAATAATAAAAATACAAAAAAAAAACATAAAATAAGCATAACACGAGACACCATTACTTATACAAAACTTTCATGCTTTATATTCTTTTGACCGACATTAGGCCAATGGAACTTTTAACAAAGATAAAAATTAATTAAACAAATTTTCAAAACAGACATAATCACTCACACACATGACATGTTGTAATTTGTTTTAATAAAATAACAAAATTCTGTTTAAACTTGACATGTTGTAATTTGTTTTAATAAAAAAACAAAATTCTGTTTAAACTCGATCATCAAGAAATGAGTATCCTACGTTCGCATTTTGTGTTTATATATAAATGCATATATATATATATATATATATATATATATATATATATATATATATATATATATATATATATATATATATATATATATATATATATAGGGGCCCAAATTTTTTTCTTGCGGGGTGGCCCTTTTTTTCTAGTTCCGCCACTGGTTATAAATCCATCCACTCTTACTAGACTCTTAGCTTACTCCAGCATTGACCAAAACTAGGACGAAGACTTTGTTGATGTATAGACAATATACATATGTGTATACAATCTACACATGTGTCAGACGAAATATTTTGATTATGGACGTGTCCATAAGTAACACATATGTAAGATAAAAGACTATGATTATGGATGTATTGATAACTTACAGATGTGTGAGACGAAATACTTTGATTACAGATGTGTAGACAACATAGATGTGTAGACATTACAGATGTGTACATAACTTACAGATGTGTAGACAACATAGATGTGTAGACATTACAGATGTGTACATAACTTACAGATGTGTAGACATCATAGATGTGTAGACATTACAGATGTGTACATAACTTACAGATGTGTAGACATCATAGATGTGTAGACATTACAGATGTGTACATAACTTACAGATGTGTAGACAACATAGATGTGTAGACATTACAGATGTGTACATAACTTACAGATGTGTGAGACGAACCAGATCCTCAAAGGCCTGGTCTGGTATGGCTGTCAGTTGGTTGTATGACAGATCTCTACAAGAGAAAACAAAATGTTAGCACACCGAAACATACCGAAACACACCGAAACACACCGAAACACACCGAAACACACCGAAACACACCGAAATAAACCGAAACACACCGAAACACACCGAAACACACCGAAACAAACCGAAACACACCGAAACACACCGAAACAAACCGAAACACACCGAAACACACCGAAACACACCGAAACACACCGAAACACACCGAAACACACCGAAACACACCGAAACACACCGAAACACAACAACCCACAGAATTTCAAGACGCCACGAAAACACAACATCGGAAAGACAAACACACGACACAGCTTATAAACATTCAATAAAACAAAACTGTAAACCTGGAGCCTTCAAGTAGAATGTTTTAGATATTGACTGCCTTATTGATAAAACTACGGTAGTGTTTGTGTATTAATTTGTAGCAGTGCTGTTAATGGAGATATTTTATATAAGTTAAATAATATTACTGATGTATCGCATCAAAATTTGAAAATTAAATAAAAGTACTAATAGATTTGGATAATCTTGAAATTGAAATCAAATATTTTAAATAATTTAAAAAAATGAAACCAAATTCATTTTGATTTTGTTTCCAGTTTATTTGTTCAGTGATGTGGAGATTGAAGAAGATACGTGTGCATTGTTTCTTCCAGGCATTTCATCAGTGTGTGTGTGTGGGGGGGGGGGGGGAGGGAGGAGAGCCTACCGCCCCGAACGAAATGGAAGTTATATCGAAATTATATCCTGTGAACAGTGTTCACCCCCCTCCCCCCCCCCCCCCCCCCGGAAATTTTAGTCCGCCCCCTCTCTCGCCGAAAATTTCAAGTGCCCCCCCCCCCCCCCCGAGAACGTGTGTTTTCCCCCAAAAACTATTTTTAAAAAATATAACTGTTCTCCAACCAAGATAATACCATTTAATATTTTTTCTTTCTGAAATTCGAAAACTGCTACGGATATTTTTCTTCTTTCTATTTCTAACCCAAAACACGAAATAAAACTGATATGGTTTACACCAGAAAACGATAGAAAAATCTGGACACTCTGAGTAAGCAAATGTAAACCAATGAAAATGTTTGACACAATTCAAAGTCAACCAATGAAAACTCGGCTCAGTACTTACAATGTACCCAAGTTTCTCAACCCAGCGAACGTCTGCTTGTCCAACACTGAGATGCTGGCGTTCCTGAGTGACCTGTAATTCGTACAAAGGTCATTATTCAGTGTGCCGGGGGGGGGGGGTAAATTATTAAACAATTAGTAGGTAACTTGAGTACGTATTGTTTTAACAACAGCGGTTGAATTCTCCGATCAGACTTGTAGCAGATGAAGTAGAGTAACTCTGATATAAAAAGATATTTCAAACAGTAGGTGAATGTGTAGCTAGTATAGTGACCAGTTGATCCTACATGTCCTGAATTATGCCAGGTACCCGCCATAGCTGAGTCTACTCAGACAGGGCCTGGTTTAACGAAACCCCGGCCCAGTGCCGTGATAATGACATATCGCTTCAACTCAGCTGTTAAGTACCTTCGATCGGATCAGTTAATACAAAACGCTGTTTGCATTAACCTGTTGTTGGGGGGGGGGGGGGGGGTGTTGTAAGGCAGGCTAACAATGGCCAGGACGGTTATTTCCCTTTACGCGAACAATTCACTTACAGTATTGAGAGGCCGGAACAAGGGGAGAAAACTCCATTGTTTACAACAAGTTGATCCGTGAGTCGATTGTGAGAAAGGTCCCTGCAAAAGAGATCGTAATTAATTTTAAATACAACTTAATCAAATTATTTATATTTTTAATTACAAGAAAATGATTAATTATTAAATTTATAATTAAAAAGAAATTGTATATTCAATAGAAAAAAAGCCCTCGATAAGAGAATTGCATAGTGCATAAACATTGTCATTTCTGATACTAAAGTAATGATTCAGAATGATTGGTCGAAATTATTTACTTTAAAATTAGTTATGTGTGTATCCTCTTCGAACATTTAAATTAATTTTGGTATTGAATGTCCAATGCAGGGGTCGGCAACCTGCGGCTCGCGAGCCGCATGCGGCTCTTTTGATATCAAGATGCGGCTCTCCAGCTCCTTGAACAAATACTAATAATATTAATAAAAAAATAAAATATTTGAAATAAAAAAATGTTAGTGGCTCTTTAAAACCAGGGGAAATTTTGAAAATTGTAACTTTTGGCTCTTCCGCTTCAAAAGGTTGCCGACCCCTGGTCTAATGAATTCTTGTATATAATTGTGGTTTTAATTTTCGTATCTTTTGTAGATATACTTCTCCCTTTTACGCGTTTCATTTTATTAAGTAGGTTTTTTTTTCTTCTGTTATATTAATCTATTTATTTCTTCATTCTTTTTTTAACATCAACATTTATCATCCATATTTTACATCATCAATCTATCGTTTACATTTTTAAATCCACATTTAAAACTGACATTTACAATCCACATCCAACATCCAGATTTCTCATCCACTCGTTACTACAACATCCTTGTGTGCGAAAAAAACTGGTTGGAATTCCAAAACCTTAGGGAAGATCGGAACACTAATAGCCAGATTTTGTAAGCGCTCATCACATTTCGTATTTGTGCCCCAACACCTCCCCCACACCCTCTTGACCTGTCACTGTGGTATCCCCCACCCCTCACTGTCCACTCTGTAACTCTGTAAATATCAGGCACGGCATCTCTCAGTCCCAGAGGAATGCCACGACTTTCAAAAGCATTAAACGACACTAGCGCTGTCTAGCGGGTGTTTTATACTCAGCTTTATTTGGACGTGGGGTGGGGGTGAGATGGGGGGGGGGGGGGGGGGCACACACTGCGCTAGTGGGTAACTGACGTCACTCATCTGGTTAAAAGAGTGGGTGGGTGGGGGTTGTTGATAGTGGCGATTTAATATTGCATACGATTTTTTTTCCTCTGTTTTAATATGGCGAAAATGTGTTAATTTTGGTAAGAGTTAATTATTTTAGATAATAGGTGGAGTTTTACAACGTTTATCATGATACTAGGAGCAGCACTTTGTGACATTCGTCTCTTCTGACGTCATATGACGATAGAAGGGGGCGGTAGTATATTAATCTATAAATAGCCTAATGTTATTTATTGGCAACCACCTCTCCCGTCGGAATGAACTAGTGCCCAGTCAGGTACTATTAATGTTTCACAAAAGTTTACCGAATGTCACTAGCAGTTTAAAAAAATTAACTGAGAAGAAAATCGACAGCGAGATTTAGTAGCTAAAAATCGAATGTTCAAACACAAAAATTCTTTTCATTTGACTGACTTCAGCATTTGATAAGTTTGTCAAAACCAAATTTATTAATTAAAACATATAGCTGTGACATTACTTGTGACAGTGAGCTATTCTGTTCTTTTCCAAAGGTACCTTTAAATAACAATGCCTAATATTTTTTCCAACAAAAAAAAATGGACACAAAAAACAAACAACAAACGCGCAGACAAAAGACACTGTCTGTAATTACAAGGGAGAGAACTTGAAAACCATCAGAAATCAGAAAAGATAGTTGTCCATTTCTCTTCCACTAAACATCCTGTCTCAATGACTGATGTATCCTTGTCTAATACGACAAAACTGGAATCCAAACTTTCCGGCGTTATTATCAAGTTTAAAACATCATGTGAGTACATTTGATGTTGTGGCGAGCCCATGAAAGAGAGGATTTGTGCAAGAGTGGGTCAAGTCTCTGAGGTCTGAACATCTTTGATATACAATGCTGCTGCTTTTGCTTTGAAAGGTTTTTTAAAAGTTTTGTAAAAATGTCAAGTTTTGTTACTGGATCAGAGAAGTTTCAGGTTGTCCTGTTTGTAGGTCAAGGTCACTGGTTATGACAAGCTGTCGGTCGCTTGTTCAATTATTCAAGGGAGGGAGACAAGGGTGGGAGATAAGGGAGAGGGAATGGGAGGGGCAAGGGAGGGGGGCAAGGGAGGGGGGCAAGAGAGAAATAGGGGGGGGGGCAAGGGAGTAGCGATGACGAGAGAGAGAAAGAAGAGAGAGAGAAGAGAGAGACAAGAGAGAGATAGAGAGAAGGTGTACAGGGATTATGTGTCTGTGTAACACGTCACATTTTGAAACCACGTGACAAGCACCGTCGAATTGGCACCTTGTGATAACTGCATTATGGCTGACACTACTGGTTGTGATTCGATGACGTCATCATTATGGCTGAGCCCTGTATGTGTCACACCAAAAGTCAATGTGTTGGAGCTCAAACATCCCTTTCAGCGTCCTTTTGAGTCAGTCATTAACGTGTCATTAATGACAGTAGAATAAAAGATGATATTTTGTTGACGACATCATGATAAAAGATGATATTTTGTTACCACCAGCATAAATTTAGTAAATTCGACTTTACTCCTCCCTCAACAAAATTATAGACTATATAATATCTACATATATAATTCTCTACGTCGCCCAACCATACGGTAAACCACGCACGCACAGCGACCCTCTAACCTTCCACCCGCCCCCTCCCTCGCTCTCCACGCATGCGCAACAGAGTGTACCCACCCACCCTATTTGGACAAGTCTTTCAGGAAGTCTTCACCCGTCACTAAATAGTAAATAGCGGCGAATGCTAGACCGCGGGTCGGTTCGTTTATTTGAAAATGCTCAAATGTAATTAAAAGTGGACGAACGCTTCGCCAAAAATATTTTTAATGTAATATTTTCAGCTCAATATTTTTTCACAGCGCCTACGCCTATAGAGCAGATTGAGAATTATTTTTATAGCCTTTAAATAACTTGGCAGAAAATGTGAGGCACTGTATGACGTAGGACTTCATCACTCGTTTTAGACTTTGTTCATGTGTAAGCGAAAGTAGGAAAAAAAATAAAATAACTCTTTACAACGGATGGTTATTTTTTAAGTCCCTTACATTCAGAGCTGAATTTTAAATACATCACTACAGATGGTGGTATTTTTACATTAAGCTTCCTACGGTCAGGTTAGCGAGTAGCTGCTAATTAAGCAATTTCCTAATGTCGCACAAATTGCATACACTTAGGGCCGAGTATGTATTCACATTTTTAATTCTGTAATGACGATTTTGATAAAAACAGGCAGCCGCTTTTAAAAAAAAATGTGCAGAATTACGGATATTTATATAATTTTTTTTTTCTGGAGAAGGCTTAGCTCAGTCGGGAGCTTAACTTTGCAGCTATATGGGACACCGATGAATAGATTAGCTTTAATCATAGCTTAGCACTACTGTGTGTTATTGAGTGCTTAACTGTTCAGCTACAAAGGGCACTAGTGAATAGCTTAGCTCTAACAATAGCTTAGCTCTATTGTGTGTTATTGAGTGCTTAACTGTTCAGCTACAAAGGGCACTAGTGAATAGCTTAGCTCTACCAATAGCTTAGCTCTATTGTGTGTTATTGAGTGCTTAACTGTTCAGCTACAAAGGGCACTAGTGAATAGCTTAGCTCTAACAATAGCTTAGCTCTATTGTGTGTTATTGAGTGCTTAACTGTTCAGCTACAAAGGGCACTAGTGAATAGCTTAGCTCTACCAATAGCTTAGCTCTGTCAATAGCTTAGCTCTGTCAATAGCTTAGCTTTACAGAGTCTTGTTGAGTGCTGTCGAGTGCTGTTGAGTGCTGTTGAGTGCTCCGAGAGAAGTGATATGGTCTCGCCTAGGGAATTTAGCTCGTGTGTAACAACAACAGTTCACGAAACTTCAACTGAATGTGTTTTCGAGAGAGTTGCTACCTCTAGAAATAGATCATTCCAGAAGGGTAACAAGAAGTCCTGCAGGGTGCGGGGTGTGTTTAGTAAGAACAGTGACCTGATTATGGCCTAAATTAATTACCCACCATTTGTAAGTAATTTTTGTAAGTACATCAGTTGGGTAGTAAATGTGTTATTTCGTTTGGCTTAGAATTTCTTAGGTAACAAGAAATACCTTTTAAGACAATATGTTAGTAATGTAGTAGTGGGCGTCACAAGGGACATAATCTGGGGACAGTCGTGTTATCAAGTACAATCTTGTTATAGGATTGATGGACTTTGTTTTTCCTTTAGGTCAGTACATAACGTGTGGGTGGAGCTTTTTTTTTTTTTCTTTAGGTCAGTACATAACATGGGGAGGAGCTTTGTTTTTTCTTTAGATCAGTACATAACGTGTGGGAGGAGCTTTGTTTTTTTTCTTTAGGTCAGTACATAACGTGTGGGAGGAGCTTTGTTTTTTTCTTTAGGTCAGTACATAACATGGGGAGGAGCTTTGTTTTTTCTTTAGATCAGTACATAACGTGTGGGAGGAGCTTTGTTTTTTCTTTAGGTCAGTACATAACGTGTGGGAGGAGCTTTGTTTTTTTCTTTAGGTCAGTACATAGCGTGTGGGAGGAGCTTTGTTTTTTTTCTTTAGGTCAGTACATAACGTGTGGGAGGAGCTTTGTTTTTTCTTTAGGTCAGTACATAACGTGTGGGAGGAGCTTTGTTTTTTCTTTAGATCAGTACATAACGTGTGGGAGGAGCTTTGTTTTTTCTTTAGGTCAGTACATAACGTGTGGGAGGAGCTTTGTTTTTTTCTTTAGGTCAGTACATAACGTGTGGGAGGAGCTTTGTTTTTTTTTCTTTAGGTCAGTACATAACGTGTGGGAGGAGCTTTGTTTTTTCTTTAGGTCAGTACATAACGTGTGGGAGGAGCTTTGTTTATTTTCTTTAGGTCAGTACATAACGTGTGGGAGGAGCTTTGTTTTTTCTTTAGGTCAGTACATAACGTGTGGGAGGAGCTTTGTTTTTTCTTTAGGTCAGTACATAACGTGTGGGAGGAGCTTTGTTTTTTCTTTAGGTCAGTACATAACGTGTGGGAGGAGCTTTGTTTATTTTTAGGTCAGTACATAACGTGTGGGAGGAGTTTTGTTTTTTCTTTAGGTCAGTACATAACGTGTGGGAGGAGCTTTGTTTTTTCTTTAGGTCAGTACATAACGAGTGGGAGGAGCTTTGTTTTTTTTTCTTTAGTTCAGTACATAACGAGTGGGAGGAGCTTTGTTTTTTCTTTAGGTCAGTACATAACGTGTGGGAGGAGCTTTGTTTTTTTCTTTAGGTCAGTACATAACGAGTGGGAGGAGCTTTGTTTTTTTTTCTTTAGTTCAGTACATAACGAGTGGGAGGAGCTTTGTTTTTTCTTTAGGTCAGTACATAACGAGTGGGAGGAGCTTTGTTTTTTTTTCTTTAGTTCAGTACATAACGAGTGGGAGGAGCTTTGTTTTTTTTTCTTTAGGTCAGTACATAACGTGTGGGAGGAGCTTTGTTTTTTCTTGAGGTCAGTACATAACGTGTGGGAGGACCTTTGTTTTTTCCTTTAGGTCAGTACATAACGAGTGGGAGGAGCTTTGTTTTTTTTACTTTAGGTCAGTACATAACGTGTGGGAGGAGATTTGTGGCAAATCAGGATAACTTGGTTCATCTCGCCTACATGCCATGCTATAATGTCATTCATTACCCTATTTTTGTCTACACGAGCTATGAAACAAGAAAAGTAACAGAGGCGACCGATCGGGGTGGGGGTGAGGGTGGGAGAAAAGTAAAGTTACATTGCAAACCTGACGGCAAATGAAGTAGAGCTCACCTGTTTCTGTGACCTAAGTATATGAAGAGATAGTGTGGACAGCACTATGCCCAGCCGTCTTTATTTTCCCTAGCATGTGTGTTAGGTACCCATCCAAGCTGGGTGGACTCAGGGACTTTCAACTGACTGACCTAGATTCGAGGTTGGGGGAAGTTCGAGGTCAATTTTTTTTTAAAATAATTATTTTACTCTAATAATAACTGCGTTGTATTGTCAAAATCTATTTTAGTCGAATTCCTGGCAATATTCATATTAAGTTGGAGCAAAAAAATGCGTCTTTTAACTTTCTAGAATTGGAAACAGGACCCTGTCGCTCCAAATACGCCCCACCCTTCTTCCCCCACCCACCAGTTGTGATGTTGCATGTGATCACTAGCTGGTGAGTGCATAGATCGTTGCACGTGCAGTGGACAGACTGACCGCTACTGGTCGCATGTTAGGGTTAGCGTCAGAGGGTGGTTTAAAGTTTAGGTACATGCACAAATTAACCACTTAAATCTGCTATTTTCAATAACGTCTTTTTGTGAGTGAGTGATGATTGGAGGGGGTGGGGGGAAGGGAGTGCACAGATGTGCTAGGGTAGCGTGACTTTATTTATGGACAACAGCCTAGTCAACCAGAAAACATGACTTCGTTAGCATGACTGCACTTTATTCTTTGATCGATACTTGAGATAAGCGCTTGGTATCGAAACTTAATGTCGGCATTCTGTATCGAAACTTGTCTTCGTTCTTGGATAATTATTAGCGCTAGGTATCAAAACTTGGTATAATTATAATGTATCGATACTTGAAATTAGCACTTGGTATTGAAACTTGGTATTGCGCTGTGGTATCGATACTTGAAGCTGGCAGGTGCATCAAAACTTGGTATCGTGCTGGGATATCGATACTTGAAATTGGCGCTTAGTATCGATACTTGGTATACCTCTAAGATATCGTGTCATGGTATCATAAAACGGATATCCTGACTAGCAGTGGGACGAAAAGTTTTCAGTACCGAGAGTTTAAAAAAGTCAGAGAGTCTAAATATAATCTCCTCCACCGTGGAGCATAGCGCTCAAGTTTTAACAGTGCAGACATTAATGAGATTCCCTCCAGCGGTCCATGTACATGTTTTCGGTAATTTAAAAACCGGAAAAGTACAAGCCTTGCCAAAGTACATTCAGAATCTCACGTCTGCCATACGTCATCGTTAAATTTGTGCGAGCTTCGGGGTGGAACATAAATTTCAATTCATTCTCAAAATAAGATAATGAACCCAATCCTTAACTGAGCATTAAATAGCTTTCAATACATTGGTTTCATTAAGATATTTATCATGAACGAAAAGCACTGTTTATACGCATTAAGATGTTTACAATTGTATAATAGATTCAAGTGTGTTTGTATAAAGTGGATTGAAAGTGCATGACGTAATTATGGAGAGGGAGGGGGGGGGGATTTGTTTGTTGAATGTTAGTATAACTGTGTGACTACTTCAAAACATTATATTTGCTAACAGATGTCAAAATTCATTATAAATATAGTCTGATTATGGATAAAAACATTATAAATATAGTCTGATTCTGGATAAAAACGAAAAAATAAATTGAATAACAATGCTCAGAGGGCATACGTAGAATGTAATACCCCGGACCGGTGACCCGTCTATAAGCCAGATAAAGTAGAGGGAATGTGTTTATGTGATCTCGGTAAATGGGGAAATAGTACAGTGGAGCTCACATAGAGATTGGCTGGACACAAGATGTGTGTCCTGTAGAACTAAGGCTGGACACAAGTTGTGTGTCCTGTAGAACTTAGGCTGGACATAAGATGTGTGTCCTGTAGAACTTAGGCTGGACACAAGTTGTGTGTCCTGTAGAACTCACTGAACGTGCGTCAATATCAAGTGTATAGCTCTAGAAAAGTTTTAAAATATAGACAGACCAACCTGGTCTAGAGAGCCAACCCCACAGACTACATGCACATGAGAACCACACAACCCATAACAACCACACAAACACACCCCTTACCCACGACAACCACACAAAAACGCATGCAGTTGCCAAACACACAAACCACCATCCAATGGCAACCAATACACCACATGCATTTCGACAACCACACACCACATGTCCATAACAACCTCACACAACCATCTCAAGACAACCACCACCAACCCACCAACGACGTGATAAACAAGACTTACAGTTTGAAGAGTTTAGTCAGGCCATTAAAGGTTCCATTCTCCAGCTCGCTAATACGATTTCTGTTCAACCGCCTGGGGAAGACAGAAGATACACATACATCTTTACACAAGGACACACATACATATTTACAGCTAGGGTAAGGACAGAAGGAACACATACATCTTTACAGCTAGGGTAACGACAGAAGAAACACATACATCTTTACAGCTAGGTAAAATACACGATCTATCCACAAAGCTATAATCTAGTTGGAAGGCTAACGAGCATCACATTTTCTGTAGTTTATTTTCGTTGTTTTGTAATAAATCTTCAATTTTCTTTTATTAAATCGTTTAATTTGTAATGCGTAGGTTTTTTTTTTTTAAATTTAAAATTTTGTTTTTTAAAAATGTTTATAAAAATTAAGGTTAGCGTTTCTTCCAGGTATCTCTTCGTGAGGGAGGGGGGGGGGGGGCGTGTCCACCCGTAGTAAAAAGTCTGGAAGAAACACTGATTAATATCTATATATACTACTAAAAGTCAAGTTTGTTTACATGTTTGAATATTTATTTGTTTGCCTGATCGAAAATTGTGATATGTTCGACTCTATCTGGAAAGCTGTAAAATGGTATGCAGGTAGAGAATAATTTTTTAATGCAGACAGACTGTTAATCACACATTTATTTAAAGACGTTAATTAATTTATTGATTTATTCCTACGCAGAATAACCCATTTTTTTTTTAAATGTTAAAACCTTGACTAAACTTTGTGGGAATAGTGACGTCACAGGTTTTTGTTTACTCTTTAGTACAATAAAATGGCGGCGTCTATTGAAGAAAATTGTGTTCCCATTCAAAAGTTTAACGCGTTCTAAATCTAATTTTCTGTCGGTCATAACTTTAACAATACGTCCGTTTGCTGTATTTATTACGTCCCAACACTTATATCAATTTTCAACTGTCTTTTTCATTTAGTTTTACGATAAATTTCTCTAGATCTAAAGATCAGCTATCGAAGGAAATTTATGAATCTAGCCTAGATCTAGATCTAGCCTAGATGTAGGTCACTAGATTCAATGTAAATTCTACATCTAGAATCTATTTCAGGCCTTAATTATTTTATATAAATCTTTGTTTGGCTTATTTAAGATAAAATTTAATTTGAAAGTTAGTACTACTAGACTTATTTTTAGATCTAGATCTAGAATCTATACGCGTAAATCAAGTTGCATAAGGAGACACATAGTATAGTATAAAAATTCACTTGTGACGTCACGAGTAAATAGCTAAAATGGTAGCGTAGTCAGCTCTCATGCAGGAGGCACGGGTTCTAGACCAATATGTCAATGAAATTTTTTTTTCAATTTTTTTTTAGATGTGAATGATAACGTTGCCTATCTGAACTTGGCAAGATACAGGGCAGGTGAAGTAGAGTTCATCTGTTTCTTTGTCCTAAGCATATGAAAGGATAGTGTGGTCAGATACATGCTCGGCTGGAATTGTTTTTTAAACGATAAAAACATGTTGTCTGAGACCTGGCAGGACACTGGGCAGGTGAAGTAGAGTTGAGTAGGTCACCTGTGACGTCAGTTTATGAAGGGATAGTCCGAAATCGGTGTTTTCGGTGTTTTTAAAAGATAAAAAACATATATTTGAATGTGGGGTCTGTTTTTTGTGACGATAAGTGACACTGCAGTAGCGTACCGAGGAGGGGGGGGGGGACGGTAGGGGAGGGGAGGCGGGGGGTGGGGAGGGGAGGCGGGGGGTGGGGAGGGGAGGCGGGGGGTGGGGAGGGGAGGCGGGGGGTGGGGAGGGGAGGCGGGGGGTGGGGAGGGGAGGCGGGGGGGAAGGGGGGGTGGGGAGGTGGAGGGGGGAAGGGGGGGGGGACATATGTTGGGGCGCCAAAATGGTTTGGAAAAATAAATTGATAGGTTGAGGGGGGTTCAAATCGAAAGTTTGAGTGGGGGGGGGTGCACATCAAAAGTTTGAGGGGGGGGGGTTCAAATCGAAAACTTTGTCCCCGGGCGCCGGGAAGGGTCGCTATGCCTCTGAGTGACAGACGTGATGTTTTTTGATGGATGACCCCCGAAACCCACAGTTATCCAACGGATGACGGGTATTCTAGTATACTACTAAAAGTCAACTTTGTTTACATGTTTGAATATTTATTTGTTTGCCTGATCGAAAATTGTGATATGTTCGACTCTATCTGGAAAGCTGTAAAATGGTATGCAGGTAGAGAATAATTTTTTAATGCAGACAGACTGTTGATCACAAATTTATTTAAAGACGTTAATTAATTTATTGATTTATTCCTATGCAGAATAACCCATTTTTTTTTAAAATATTTGAAAAGCCACTAGACTCGGCGGGACCGTGACGTCACAGGTTTTTGTTTACTCTTTAGTACAATAAAATGGCGGCGTCTATTGAAGAAAATTGTGTTCCCATTCAAAAGTTTAACGCGTTCTAAATCTAATTTTCTGTCGGTCATAACTTTAACAATACGTCCGTTTGCTGTATTTATTACGTTCCAACACTTATATCAATTTTCAACTGTCTTTTTCATTTAGTTTTACGATAAATTTCTCTAGATCTAAAGATCAGCTATCGAAGGAAATTTATGAATCTAGCCTAGATCTAGATCTAGATCTAGCCTAGATGTAGGTCACTAGATTCAATGTAAATTCTACATCTAGAATCTATTTCAGGCCTTAATTATTTTATATAAATCTTTGTTTGGCTTATTTAAGATAAAATTTAATTTGAAAGTTAGTACTACTAGACTTATTTTTAGATCTAGATCTAGAATCTATACGCGTAAATCAAGTTGCATAAGGAGACACATAGTATAGTATAAAAATTCACTTGTGACGTCACGAGTAAATAGCTAAAATGGTAGCGTAGTCAGCTCTCATGCAGGAGGCACGGGTTCTAGACCAATATGTCAATGAAATTTTTTTTTTCAATTTTTTTTTTTAGATGTGAATGATAACGTTGCCTATCTGAACTTGGCAAGATACAGGGCAGGTGAAGTAGAGTTCATCTGTTTCTTTGTCCTAAGCATATGAAAGGATAGTGTGGTCAGATACATGCTCGGCTGGAATTGTTTTTTAAACGATAAAAACATGTTGTCTGAGACTTGGCAGGACACTGGGCAGGTGAAGTAGAGTTGAGTAGGTCACCTGTGACGTCAGTTTATGAAGGGATAGTCCGAAATCGGTGTTTTCGGTGTTTTTAAAAGATAAAAAACATATATTTGAATGTGGGGTCTGTTTTTTGTGACGATAAGTGACACTGCAGTAGCGTACCGAGGAGGGGGGGGGGGGCGGTAGGGGAGGGGAGGCGGGGGGTGGGGAGGGGAGGCGGGGGGTGGGGAGGGGAGGCGGGGGGGGGGAAGGGGGGGGGGTGGGGAGGTGGAGGGGGGAAGGGGGGGGGGGGACATATGTTGGGGCGCCAAAATGGTTTGGAAAAATAAATTGATAGGTTGAGGGGGGTTCAAATCGAAAGTTTGAGAGGGGGGGGGGGGTGCACATCAAAAGTTTGAGGGGGGGGGGTTCAAATCGAAAACTTTGTCCCCGGGCGCCGGGAAGGGTCGCTATGCCTCTGAGTGACAGACGTGATGTTTTTTGATGGATGACCCCCGAAACCCACAGTTATCCAACGGATGACGGGTATTCTAGTAGTTTTTAAAAATATTGATACTATAAAGGGCTATGATACGTAGCCAAATCAGTCAATCGTTTTCAGCAAATAAAAACTTAATGTTACCTTTTGTGTATAAACTAGTTGGAATAAGCTGTCTCAAGTTTGGGATAAACTTGGGATAAACTCAGGGATATAGTTTGGGAAACTTACACAGTTTGTAAATTTGTGTTGCTTTCAATACTTACAGAGTATCTAAATTCGTGTTGCTTTTAATACTTACAGAGTGTAAATTTGTGTTGCTTTCAATACTTACACAGTTTGTAAATTTGTGTTGCTTTAAGTACTTACAGAGTATGTAAATTTGTGTTGCTTTCAAACAAATTTTTGGTCAGCCGAGTCAACATGTTGTTCTCCAGTGATCTAAAAATAGATGATCGGATGATGTCAGCTATTTATTAAAGATGGTAGGATGGTATCATACAGGCCTACATATTAGAGAGAGTAGGATGGTATCATACAGGCCAACATATTATAGATGGTAGGATGGTATCATACAGGCCTACATATTAGAGATGGCATCATGTATTTTTAAAGACAAAACTATAAAGATGGACTTACAATATCTTTAGATCAGGAGTTTGTGAAAAAACGTCGGACTGTAGTTCCTCAATTCGGTTGTTGGATATGTTACTAAAAATAGAAAAAGCAGGTTAATATTTAATACAGACGAATCAGGGCTAATCAGAAGAGCGATGACTAAGACAGACAAACCAAGACTAAAACCAACGTACCATAGATTAAAACTAACGAACCATGACTAAGATCAACGAACCATGACTAAGACCAACGAACCATGATTAAAACTAACGAACCATGACTAAGACCAACGAACCATGATTAAAACTAACGAACCATGACTAAGATCAACGAACCATGACTAAGACCAACAAACCATGTATAAAACCTACGAACCATGACTAAGACCAACGAACCATGATTAAAACTAACGAACCATGACTAAGATCAACGAACCATGACTAAGACCAACGAACCATGATTAAAACCAACGAACCATGACTAAGAACAACGAACCATGACTAAGACCAACAAACCATAATTAAAACTAACGAACCATGACTAAAACCAACGAACCAAGACTAAAACCAACGAACCATGACTAAAACCAACGAACCAAGACTAAAACCAACGAACCATGACTAAAACCAACGAACCAAGACTAAAACCAACGAACCATGACTAAAACCAACGAACCAAGACTAAAACCAACGAACCATGACTAAAACCAACGAACCAAGACTAAAACCAACGAACCATGACTAAAACCAACGAACCAAGACTAAAACCAACGAACCATGACTAAAACCAACGTACCATAGACTAAAACCAACGAACCATGACTAAAACCAAAGAACCATAGACTAAGACCAACGAACCATAGACTAAAACCAACGAACCATGACTACGCCTAACGAATTATAAATAAAACCAACGAACCATGACTAAGACCAACGAACCATGACTTACATTTGCTCCAGTTTCTCGGCCCCATGGAACACATCAGCGTCCAATGACGTCACCAGGTTATTCCGCACATACCTGTGAAAACAGATTGATATTGAAACCAGAGAAGCTAATGTCTATCTTGTCTCCAGAATTTACAATTACTGTAATTAGCATTTAGTGATAAATTTTACAAGAAGAGTAACATAAGCATCCCCTATATCAGTGCATCTTATTAAGAATTGCACATAATCAGGCGTGATAGCACTATATATATATATATATATATATATATATATATATATATATATATATATATATATATATATATATATATATATATATATATATATATATATATATTTATATATATATATATATATGAGTAGCCTGCAACAAGACTGGTCACAAATTCTTACATAATACATGCTTCTCCTACTAATATATGAACACTTACAAGCTCAGTAACTCCGTGACGTCAAAAATTTGGAAAACAGCCTTTAAGTCCTTGACATTGGCGTTGTCTATGTACCTGCCCAGACATGAATATCGTGAGTACAAGGTATTTTTGCTGACGTTTTCAACAATAAAGAAATACATAAAAAAGAAACGGTTCAACTAATGAAAGGCAGAGGCGATTGTGACATCAGTAGCGGGCAAGTTGCAGCACTATCCAAACTGCTAGAATGCATAGTATGCAGAGGCTATGCTGGGCTTAAAAGGGGGCTTATTTTAAGTATGTGTATTGTAAAAGGGGATGGTTACAAGGACTATGGGTTATGTTCCTTAAGTCTAGAATTTTTCGGTCCTTAAAACATGAATCGGAAAACAGGTTCCTATGGTGAAAATTAGCGCCGCATGAATGCCATAGAAACAGGCCAACTATTTTACTTGATGTTTGTAGAGTATCGCCTGTCTTTAAAAGTCCTATGCGATTATTTCCTCGTCACGATATTGTGAAATTTACAAGGTGTAATAGCGAGTTTGTCAGGTACCTACTTCCAAGCTGTATTCGATCTCCAGTCAATGACCAATAGGGCCTATTTTATTGCCGCTGTATATTGGGCTCATCATTTCTTCTCCGTCACACACCCCCCCCCCCCCACCCCACTGTCTTCTTTAAAAGCTTTTACTTCCGGATCAAACTGGGCGTCTTTTCGCTCAAGAGCATGAACTCTTTTCTGATTTGTTAAAAACTACACGGACATATTCTATTTTTAAATATCTCTTCCTTTCCCCTATTTCACCCCCTTCCCGACCAGGAATTAACTTTTGACTTCTGGTAAGGTCAGGACAACCTTCAACTTTTGACTTCTGGTAAGGTCAGGACAACCTTCAATACCCTAACGGACCACCCCACAGTTCCAGCTGAGCAAATTATTTTAGAGGTTCCTGCTGGGACCTGTAAATAACTGAGTCTTGTAGAGAACAGCCGAGGGATTTGGATAATTGCTAAACAGCTTTTCAAAAACCAATAACAAATCACATCATCTTTAACCGTTTCTCCTTGGTGATTTTTTAAAGGTATTTTCCTACGAGTTACCTTGACTTTCGCCCTTGTTCTGAAGACAAGACAAAATATCGTCTTTGAGCGTGAGCGGCTGATGTTAATTTAATTTAGAACACGGGGAAAAAATTGTTTTGAAGAAGGACAGTTTGGGGAAAACAATGTTCGACAGATTTCAAAAATCAGTGTTTGTCTGTTATATATTTTCTTCTTCTTCTTCGTTCTTAATTTTAGTGTTGGAAAGGATCCCCTTCCAACACAATTAAGGATACGTGTCAACTGGTTATGCGCCATTGAGGCCATCGACTCCGATTTCAGCCTGTTTTTCTTTTTGGATTTGCTTCCATAGCCTTTGTCCAACCAAGAACAAACTACAAGGCAGCAGTTTTTTTTTTATTTTGGAGTTGTCTCTCCAAGAAGAGTGGCTGTCCCAAGCTAACGAGCCTAATCTGCCCGAGGGTTCGAACTCGTGACTTTTCGGTTTAGCAACCATGAGCTTTACCGACTCTACCACGCCGACCCCTTGTTATATATTTGAAAATCAGCGTTTGATTGTCATAATTTTTCTATATTGTGTACACCAAATATTTAATCGATGTTAAACACGAAGGTTAGTGCGACGAATCAAATAAATCAAGTACTAAAACAGTTTTTAAACGTGGGTCTGTTCGCCTGGAGAAAATTTGAATTTCGAAAAGTTTTTCAGTTATTCTTGCTAGTATTTCCATTGAAGTTTAAAACTAGTTTATGATTAGATGTAGACATTTGACATTTGTTTTAAATTGTACTTCAGTATGTTCAATATTTGATGACCCTAAGTATTAAGATTGTACTTAAAGCTGAGATGTTTTAACCCTTTTATATAAATTCAAGATATGCATATTTGATGGTTTGAAATTATGGTAAACTTTAAATACAAAATACGCTCTTACCCATGCAAATCACACCCCACCCCGAACCCCATCCCCCCCCCCTCTCTCCCCCCCCCCCCCATTTTAGATGAAATGTCGGCTCTCCGACTAAGCTGACACATTAGTTAGCTACCGACTTAAGCTCAAAACACTAATCGGTTAGTGAGTTAAGTTCACTGAATGGGCGGGCCTTGACTTAAGCTCACATATCGTATAGTGAGTTAAGCTCACACAATAGTCGGCCATTGACTTTAGATAATCCGCTCACGGCCGAGCAGGTCCAACGAGACACTTATTGTAATGGCCGTCTATGGGGATTATCGCGATAATCCCTTTTTAACCTTTTTCTCGTTTCGCAAGCTTCGAGTGCTGAGATTATCCAGTCTCCATTTGTAGCGTCATATAGTTGGACTGTGGCTTTATGAACGCTCCAATACCTGGCACCAGTTCCAATCGTGACTTTTATAAGGTCCTATGACGTGTGTTCCATTCACAAACCATGAAGTATTAGAGCAGAATTTCTGAATCACATTCCGAGCTAGGTGAATACTAGGTCTTTTCTTTAGAGATAACATCAGGGCTGAATCTATACTTTGAGATAACATTGCGGGCTAAGTCGATACTCTGGAATAACATTGCGGGCGTAGTCGATACTTGAAGAAGTCACGATGTTTTAACCGCTGACGTCACTTCCTGAAAGTGAAAGGTCCAAGTGTGGCCGGAGCGTGGAATGTGATCGTTGAGAGTTAATGAAAGCTTTCACAGAAACACTGGTCGTTGAGGCCACACATATTCCACTGTACAGCTAGACCAATAGACTAGAGCAGTAGATGTGTAGGCTATGTGCTCAGTGCAGCGGTCGATAAGCAAGTACCAGGGGGGGGTGAATTAAGCTCGTACTTTTTGAGTGGTTTAAGAGAAGATGGGGGGAAGGGGGGTTACATGCACATTTTAATACCGTTTCTACGTCTAAGACTGTGACCTAGAACATCTGAAGGTCCTGAGTCTCTGACTTAACGCAATGTTGCCAGCGGGTGCTTTAGGTGCCCCATGGTGACAAAATACGTGTACGTCTATACGCTCTGTCTGCCTTGTAGGATCAAGCTATGTGAAAGACACGTGTGACGAGAGATGAACGGCCGTGCACTAGCTGTACCTAGCGTCGTTTCTAACTTCAGGAATAAAATGACAGTCTAACCCCCTCCCTCCCTCCCCCCCCCCCCCACCAAAGCCTCCACCCTCCCCCTTTTTTTTCAACCCAGCCGGACACCCACGGGTCAAACGCCAGGCAACATTGAGCGGGAAAGTGATGGATTCTACATGTGCTTGAGATCTGCCTGGCTTTAAGGCATCACGAGTACCGGCAATGTCAGTGTTAGAAGAAATGTTGAGAGGAGAGTAGGTCATATTCATTAGGTGACAAAACAAGGCATCCAACAATCCATATGACATCCAGCAACCCATCTGCCATCCAGCAAGACATCTGCCATCCAGCAAGACTTCTGCCATCCAGCACGTCATCTGTCATCCAGCAACTTATCTGTCATCCAACAAACCACGTGTCAGACCCTATGCCATTGCGACAGACAGACTATTGTAACCACGCTAAACTAGATTCCCTAATGTTACAGTGTTGAACAATTTGGTCAAATGGTTAAGACTAAAGAAACAAAAGTCAAAGTATCAAAGACTAAAAACAAAAGTCTAAGTATTAAAGACTAAAAAAAAGTCTAAGTCTCAAAGACGCGATACTCACAGGTTGTTGACCTTAAGTGATGACGTGTTGATGAGGATCTGTGAGAACGTCTGGAAGTTGGTGCCGGACAGTGACCTGCAAGAGAGGGAAAACATGAGTAGAGGGTGCTGGGGGTAGGGTACGTCTGTGTGTGGGGGAGGGCTAAAGAAGAGAGGGGAAAGGTGGGTACAGGGTCCTGGGGGGAGTAGGGTAGTGTGTGGGGGGATGGGTGTTTAGAGAAGAGAGGGAAAACATGAGTACATGGTCCTGGGGGGGGGGGTAGGGTACGTGTCTGGGTGGATGAGAGGGGGAAGCGGAGAAGAGAGGGAAATCGTGAGTACAGGGTACATGTATGTGGGGGGGGGCTAAGGAAGAGAGGGGGGAGGTGAGTACAGGGTCCTGAAGGGGTAATGTACCGGGGGGTGGGGGTCTCAACAATGAAAGAAGAATGTGGTGGGTGTGGGAGCTAAATATGGGCAGCAGAACTACCCTGAGAGTGGGGGACTGAGCTAAGGAGGAAGGGCAAGGTACGTGTGGTGAGGGTACTGAACTAGTCGGTTTGTCCTGTCCTAATGTCCTATATAAGACCGATTGGGCCGTCTGCAGGACGTATAAAAGACAAATACACTTCGATATTTTTCTAGATCCGTGAAACGTCTGATTTGTAAGACGTCACTGAGATTACAGGACGTTGATAATGTAGGACGTCTCGGTGTAGCTTCACTCAGCTCTGAAGAATACCTTATATACATTTTAGCCGATACAGGCGGATAGGCAATAGGTTTGTCATTCAATTCCTCGTTTAAAATGCTTTAAGGCTACAACTTTTGCATTATGGTGGGAACCATATGTACTTTAAAACTTCAACCGATCACAATGGCGATTAGTGTGTTCGTGAAAATGTGAAAACATTTCGCTTGGGGCAAGTGAAAAAACATTTTCATTAGTTGCTTCAGTGAATGTGGGAAGGTGGTGGGGGTAAAGAGGGTATACACAGTGGGGAGAGACTGCGGGCGAAGAAGGTATAAAACAGTAGGGGGAAGGCTTGTGGTACAGAGGATTTAAAACAGTGGGGGGAGGCTGGGGGTTCAGAGGATATTACATTAGAGTTCACAGCAACTAACCCAAGGAGATTATTAAAAAAACCGAATCGATTCTCTTTTGTTGTTACCCTAGTCACAGGATGACCTTCAAAACCCTCTGATGGAATTTTTTTTTTCAATCTTCACTTTCCAATAGTTGGATCTAATCACACTCATGTCTAGACGGTCAGTTTTCACATTTTAAATGGCAGATCTCAAAAACTGTACTCGTAAACTGCGACTTTTTAAAAAAATGCCTAGTCCCCCTTCACCGATACCCTCACCCCCCCCCCCCCCCCCCCCTCACTAGCTATTAAAACAACATAATGAGTTTTGGATCTCGATTATCTTTCAAGTAAATATGGCGGCTTCAAGACGGAAGTGACGTCAACTAGTAGCTCTGTCGGGTGAGTAATCAACAATAGAATGCACTAGGCAGTGTTGGAGGTTTAACTTCTGAATACTTGGGAGAACCAAAATAGTGTTTTATTAAGATTCCATGTGAGTTAGATGCAATACAGTGGATAAATAGCTGTGGTGCCGGTTTAATTAAGTTTACAACATAAATATTGTCGTTTTTAGAACATCTATAATATCAATATTGCTGTCTTAATAGCGTCTACAACATCCATATTGCTGTCTTCATAACGTCTACAATATCAATATTGCTGTCTTGATAGCGTCTAGATTAGAATATCAATATTGCTCTCATCGTAGCGTCTACATCATCAATATTGCTGTCCTTCTAGCGTATGCAATATCAATATTGCTCTCCTCGTAGCATCTACATCATCAATATTGCTGTCTTGATAGCGTCTACAATATCAATATTGCTCTCATCGTAGCGTCTACAACATCCATATTGCTGTCTCTAGAACATCTGCAACTATAATAAAATCAGCAAACTACAAATAACCTTGAGTATCTCTCCATGGTGTTCGCCCTCTCTCAACAATATGTACACAACTCTCTAAGTCTCTCAACAATATGTACACAACTCTCTAAGTCTCTCAACAATATGTACACAACTCTCTAAGTCTCTCAACAATATGTACACAACTCTCTAAGTCTCTCAACAATATGTACACAACTCTCTAAGTCTCTCAACAATCTGTACACAACTCTCTAAGTCTCTCAACAATATGTACACAACTCTCTAAGTCTCTCAACAATATGTACACAACTCTCTAAGTCTCTCAACAATATGTACACAACTCTCTAAGTCTCTCAACAATTTGTACACAACTCTCTAAGTCTCTCAACAATATGTACACAACTCTCTAAGTCTCTCAACAATATGTACACAACTCTCTAAGTCTCTCAACAATATGTACACAACTCTCTAAGTCTCTCAACAATATGTACACAACTCTCTAAGTCTCTCAACAATCTGTACACAACTCTCTAAGTCTCTCAACAATATGTACACAACTCTCTAAGTCTCTCAACAATATGTACACAACTCTCTAAGTCTCTCAACAATATGTACACAACTCTCTAAGTCTCTCAACAATTTGTACACAACTCTCTAAGTCTCTCAACAATATGTACACAACTCTCTAAGTCTCTCAACAATATGTACACAACTCTCTAAGTCTCTCAACAATATGTACACAACTCTCTAAGTCTCTCAACAATCTGTACACAACTCTCTAAGTCTCTCAACAATATGTACACAACTCTCTAAGTCTCTCAACAATATGTACACAACTCTCTAAGTCTCTCAACAATATGTACACAACTCTCTAAGTCTCTCAACAATATGTACACAACTCTCTAAGTCTCTCAACAATATGTACACAACTCTCTAAGTCTCTCAGCAATCTGTACACAACTCTCTAAGTCTCTCAACAATCTGTACACAACTCTCTAAGTCTCTCAACAATCTGTACACAATTCTCTAAGTCTCTCAACAATATGTACACAACTCTCTAAGTCTCTCAACAATATGTACACAACTCTCTAAGTCTCTCAACAATCTGTACACAACTCACTAAGTCTGTCATGATCAAAAGTTCAGAGTTTGTCAACATGGACGTCTGAACCTAAAACTCTGAGATTGTTTGCTGAAGTGTTTTACTCTGAACTACTTTTTTTGAACCCGGATTAAAATCTTTAGAGGAAACTTTTATTGGAGTATTGAGCTTGCCAGTCCATCGGGGTAAAGAAAATGGGTTTCTTTTTTTTTATTATTTTACTGGAGATTCAACAACCCGAAAAGTTTCCAGAATGATCGGTTTTACGGTGATTAGTAAAAAATTTGAATAAAAATCCAGAATATTGTAAGGATTCTATTCACATGAAAACAAATTATCTGTGAAGGTCTTTACTACACTCGAAAACAACACTACTTACATTTTATAATAAAAAAAAACAACAGTTTTTGGGAATTCCCTCTTAAGACCTATTTTCTACTTTGAATCCTTTTTATAAATTAGTTTTTTGTCAGAGCTTTGCCTTTAAGCGAGTCTAAAGAAAGGAGTAATACAAGACTAGAAAAACCACGAGTATTTTGTTTATTAATGTATATGTCAGGGGATTATTCTGTACTTTATGCGCACTCAATCTGCTTGAATACTGCTACAGAATGGTAAATCTCGCATCTATTCATCCTAATGCACGGATTATATTTTTTTATTTATCTGAAACTCAAAGGGAGTTAATAGCCAAGAAACCATGATAAAGGGAAATAACTTTTTTTCGAATAAAAAAAAACTTTCTTATTTTATTATTTGGATTGCAGATTTAGTTTTTGTGTTGTTCCTTTTTAGAAACGTTGAATAAACTAAAATTGTATAATTCCTGTACATTAAGACAAGGTTACAGAAGTATTGAAATACGCTAAGGGTTCTATAAAAGCAATATGCGTGTATCATAGAAGTTTTGATAGTGTGCTCAACAAAGACATCTTTTCATAATGTTAACTGAATGGCGAATAGGGGCAATGACAAAGATTACAAACATGGCTTACGGTAGTACAAACAAGACTTTTTGAACATGGTGGGTTGGTGCAAGGACAAGTCTTTTCAAATCAGAATTACGGAGCAGAATAGCAAAATGAATATATCCACTTTTCATTTACCATCCACATTTTCCTCGAAAAAAAAAGCTAAATTGCAAAGAAGGAAAAAAATCAGAGCTAAAATAAAATATACGAAAAGCTCAGAGCTTAATGACAAAGTTCATACAGCTCTGGCTTGAGCTCTGTGCTCAAGTACATCCGAAAGCTAAGAGATAACGAAAACAACTTTAAACTCCGAGAGCTTACATTTGAGGATCTGAGAGCCACAGAGAGGAGCGAAGAGAAGCGGAGGAGAGCTTATGTTATCGGATAGATTTGTTTGAGAACTGATGCTACATCAAGATTTCAAGTAGGATACACTGGTGCATTTAAATTTAAATAATTGGATGTCATACAATCGAGGTGAAGATGTGTTAAAAGAAGCAGGGACGTCAAACATTCCAACACAGAGAAGGTGTTAGAACAGGGCCAGGGACGTCAAACATTCAAGACGTCAAACATTCCAACACAAATGTGTGAGAACAGGACCAGGGACGTCAAACATTCAAGACGTCAAACATTCCAACACAGAGGTGTGAGAACAGGAGCAGGGACGTCAAACATTCAAGACGTCAAACATTCCAACACAGAGGTGTGAGAACAGGACCAGGGACGTCAAACATTCAAGACGTCAAACATTCCAACACAGAGGTGTGAGAACAGGAGCAGGGACGTCAAACATTCAAGACGTCAAACATTCCAATACAGAGAAGAATCAAGGACGTCAAACATTCCAATACAGAGGTCTGAGAACAGGACCAGGGACGTCAAACATTCAAGACGTCAAACATTCCAATACAGAGAAGAATCAAGGACGTCAAACATTCCAATACAGAGGTCTGAGAACAGGACCAGGGACGTCAAACATTCAAGACGTCAAACATTCCAATACAGAGAAGAATCAAGGACGTCAAACATTCCAATACAGAGGTCTGAGAACAGGACCAGGGACG